CAGCAGTGGGGAGAGCGTGGCTCTCCCTCAGGGCAGCAGTGGAGATACCGCGGCTCTTCCTCAAGCCAGCAGTGGAGAGGATGGGGGTCCCTCAGGGCAGCAGTGGACGGAGCATGGCTCTGCCTCACTCTCACCCATCTCCTCTGAGCTGCATGCGATTGTGTGAGTGTGAGTGAGCCGTGTGTGAGTGAGTGTGAGTGAGCTGTGTGTGTGAGTGAGTGTGAGTGAGCCGTGTGTATGAGTGAGCCGTGTGTGAGTGGATCGACCGTCAGCTTTCCGTGGCTGCGTCTCCGGCGCTGTGGCCGCCATATTGCTGCTTCTCGGAACTCCGAGGTTCGGGGCGCAACACAACAGGAAGTGGACATCTCGCGGTCACGTGACGCACTTCAACCAATCCGGGAGCTTACATGTTTGGGAGGGGCGCACCTCTGGTTGGCTGCTAGCTCGCGGTCACGTGACGCACTTCAACCAATCCGGGGGCGTTAATCACAGTCACAGAGTGACAAATCTGGGCTATTATATATGTATATTATTATAGACAATGCCTATAACATTATAGTTACATTATTATCAGAGCCTGTCTGTTTGCATGTCCACCACAAGCACTGCGTGTGGTTAATGCGATAACTTCCTTGCAAAAGTTGTAGATTTGAAGCTTTCGTGACTGCAAGAATTCATACTCTTGGGTTTTTTCGGTATTTACCTACGTGACTTTACCGAAAAAACCTAAGAGTATGAATCCTTTCAAAAGGTTTATTTTTGGTGTTTGAACATCTTAACACGACTCCTGTTTTATTGCCAGAAAGGGCACAACCCCTACTCTTATTTGTCACACTTTGATACTGGCAAAAAAGGTCCCGAAGATATTGCTACTCACAGGCAACAGCATCAGCGAGGGTTGATGGATCAGACACTGATATACGTACGTATGTCGAACTTATTTCGCACTGTACGTGCGGGGGAAGGACAACAAACTAAACACAACAACAAGCAGTTCAATGTAGTATAGTAGTGTAGTGTATATTGTAGTGTATAGTAGTGGTGTATAGTAGTGTGGTGTAGTGTAGTGTATAGTGTAGTGTATAGTAGTGTAGTGTATCGTGTAGTGTATTGTGTAGTGTATAGTAGTGTGGTGTAGTGTATAGTGTAGTGTATAGTGTAGTGTATAGTAGTGTAGTGTATAGTGTAGTGTATAGTATTGTAGTGTATAGTAGTGTGGTGTAGTGTAGTGTATAGTGTAGTGTATAGTAGTGTAGTGTATAGTGTAGTGTATAGTGTAGTGTCTAATAGTGTACAGTAGTGTATTGTGCAGTAGTGTAGTGTATAGTATAGTAGTGTATAATAGTGTATCGTAGTGCAGTGTATAGTAGTGTAGTATATAGTATAGCGATGACGTTTGCGTTGGGGTTAGAGATCACGTAAATGTAACTGTGTCGTAAACCGACCTCCACCTGACACAGCGAATCGGTTTCGGTTGGTCACGTTGTGAACAAAACTTCCCCAATTAGTTGCGACTTTAGCCCTAACCGGTCGTGTTGTGTTGGAGAGCAAACTCACAACATATTTTACAATTGAGTCGATGTCTCTCTGTGTGCTGAGTTTGTTGATCTATGTGTGGTGAGTCTGTGGGTCTCTGTGTGGTGAGTCTCTGGCTTTCTGTGTGATGAGTCTGTGGGTCTCTGTGTGGTGAGTCTGTGGGTCTCTGTGTGATGAGTCTGTGTGTGTCTGTGTGATGAGTTTGTTGATATGTGTGGTGAGTCTGTGGGTCTCTGTGTGGTGAGTCTGTGGGTCTCTGTGTGGTGAGTCTGTGGGTGTCTGTGTGGTGAGTCTGTGGGTCTCTGTGATGAGTCTGTGGGTCTCTGTGTGGTGAGTCTGTGGGTCTCTGTGTGGCGAGTCTGTGGGTCTCTGTGTGATGAGTCTGTCGGTCTGTATTAGGGTCTATGGGTCTACGTGCTTATGGGTCCGTGATTCTACGGGTCTCAGTTTCTATGGGTCTTTGAGTCGACATGGTCTCTGAGTCTATGGGTCTCTGAGTCTATGGGTCTCTGAGTCTATGGATCTCTGAGACTATGGGTCTCTGAGTCTATGGATCTCTGAGTCTATGGGTCTCTGAGTCTATGGATCTCTGAGACTATGGGTCTCTGAGTCTATAGGTCTCTGAGTCTATGGATCTCTGAGACTATGGATCTCTGAGTCTATGGGTCTCTGAGTCTATGGGTCTCTGAGTCTATGGATCTCTGAGACTATGGGTCTCTGAGTCTATGGGTCTCTGAGTCTATGGGTCTCTGAGTCTATGGATCTCTGAGACTATGGGTCTCTGAGTCTATGGGTCTCTGAGTCTATGGATCTCTGAGACTATGGATCTCTGAGTCTATGGGTCTCTGAGTCTATGGATCTCTGAGACTATGGGTCTCTGAGTCTATGGGTCTCTGAGTCTATGGATCTCTGAGTCTATGGGTCTCTGAGTCTATGGGTCTCTGAGTCTATGGATCTCTGAGTCTATGGGTCTCTGAGTCTATGGGTCTCTGAGTCTATGGGTCTCTGAGTCTATGGATCTCTGAGTCTATGGGTCTCTGAGTCTATGGATCTCTGAGACTATGGGTCTCTGAGTCTATGGGTCTCTGAGTCTATGGGTCTCTGAGTCTATGGATCTCTGAGACTATGGGTCTCTGAGTCTATGGGTCTCTGAGTCTATGGGTCTCTGAGTCTATGGATCTCTGAGTCTATGGGTCTCTGAGTCTAGGGGTTTCTATCGACCTACTTACCTACCCACCTGCCGACCCGCCCACTCAACACATGTCGTTCTACGCCCCGCGGCCGCATGTCTTATAATTTCCATCTTGTCAGGTGACGGCGTTGTTATGCTCATGTAGTAGTATTAGTAGTAGTATTATTATCATTATTTCTGTCTCACCTGCAGTATTTGCCGTCGCGCTCAGCGACCAAGAAGACGAAAAAACAACAAAGGCATCGCTCCGGAATTGCCACGGGGCTGGGCGCGGGTGCTGTGGTGTGGGTGGGGCGGTGGTGGGAGGGTGATGGTGGGAGAGTGGTGGTGGGGGGTAGTGGTGTTGGGGGGTGGTGGTGGGGGGCGGTGGTGGGGGGCGGTGGTGTTGGGGGGTGGTGGTGGGGGGCGGTGGTGGGGGCGGTGGTGGTGGGGGGCGGTGGTGGTGGGGGATGTCCTCTAGCTCCCCTAGGTCGACTCGGCCGAAAATGAGTACCCGGTGTGTAAACGCCGTCACTCGGGAAGACAAAGGCGGCCGGGCGTGGTGCTGGCCACCCACAGCCCCTCGCTTGCCGTGCCGGCCTTCATAGGTGATCCTTCGCTAACAGCACTTTCCCTAGCGGTGTGTTCAGGCTACACGGGGCACCTTTGCCTTTGGCGTGGCGTGAGTGGCTGGGGGTACTGTTGGTGACTTGACGAAGGTCACGCTGTTGTCTCTTTTCACGGGGTAAGGGAAATCGTTTAAAACCAAGTAAAAAAAAAGATCGGAACGTAATGTAACGTCGCTTTAAAGTCAATTAAAAATATATTTTTTTTATTTTATCAGGCAAGGTCACTGCCAGGTGAGTGGCGATGGAGAGAACAGGTTTCCTGGATCTAGCCAGGACAATCATTATCGTCTCACCAGGACCCTCAATATTTAAAACTACTGAATAATTTTTTTTAATAGATATTCTTACTAATCAAGGCCCCCCTCTGAGATATGGCGTGGCTCTTTTTCACAAGCCCTGACCTGGCTATCACAAATGATTGCAACTCAGCCAAATGGTGACTTATCACGTGGATATTCATAGCGGCAGCCAAATATTCTCAACGCATAGAGATACACAGAGACCCATAGAGATACATAGATACCCATAGAGATACATAAAGACCCATAGAGATACATAGAGACCCATAGAGATACATAGAGACCCATAGATATACACAGAGACCCATAGAGATACATAGAGACCCATAGAGATACATAGAGACCCATAGATATACACAGAGACCCATAGAGATACATAGAGACCCATAGAGATACATAGAGACCCATAGATTTACACAGAGACCCATAGAGATACATAGAGACCCATAGAGATACACACACTCCCACAGAGATACATACAGACCCATAGAGATACACACACTCCCATAGAGATACATACAGACCCATAGATTCAACTAAATTATGTTTTATTGTTACCAGGCAAGGCCCCTCTGAGCTACGTAATCGCCCCTTTTTCAGAAGCGACCCTGGCCCATCACAAATGATAACAGATCGACCAAGTGGCTGATATCACCATCACGTGGAAATTTAAAGTAGCAGCAGAATACTCTAAACGCGTGTTGCTAAATGTGGAGAAGAATCCAAGCGACCACAGGAAGAAAATGCAAACTCCAAATATATAGCAGTGGCAGGCGTCAGGGTCGGGATCGAACCCACGACCTCTTGTATACCAGGCGAGGTCGTTACCATCTCCTAGCCACCGTGATGATGATGAGAGAGAGACACGCAAACTCCAAATATACAGCAGCGGCAGGCGTCAGGGTCGGGATCGAACCCACGACCTCTTGTATACCAGGCGAGGTCGTTACCATCTCCTAGCCACCGTGATGATGATGAGAGACAGAGACACGCAAACTCCAAATATACAGCAGCGGCCGGCATGGTCAGGCTCGGGATAGGATCCACGACCTCCTGTATACCAGGCGAGGTAGTTAACATCTCCTAGCCAGAGTGATGTTGATGAGAGAGAGATGCAGAACTCGAAATATACAGCAGCAGCAGACGTCAGGGTCGGGATAGAACCCACGAACCTCCTGCCCTGAAAACTTGAGATCGCGTCTCCAAACCCACGGGGACGAATGTCTGTGGGTGAGCGACCTTGCCCAAGCCCTGGGCCAAATAGCCGCCAAGTCACGGCCAAGGGTGTGACCCCTCGCGATGGTGGCATCTATAAGAAGCGTCAACCACTCCCTGAACTCTCCAGAGACCGGGGGGTGGTGAGAAGACTGGCACAGCAGACAGTCCATCTCTCTCTCTCCATCTCTCCCTCTGAGTGCGTGTGAGTGAAGTTGGTGGGTGTCTGTGTGTGTGTGTGTGACCTTGACAGCTGACCCCCGACAGTCCGCTAAAGGCAACACGAAGGAATCTTTGTCCTTGTGGTGCGAGGTCTCCACAACCGCACCGCCAATCGCTTCTCGATCCTCCTTCTGCTGCTGCTACCCACGCGAAACTTGATCTCCCACTGTCATCATGAGGCTCGCGTTGGGTGCCCTCGTGGTGGTGGTGATGGTGGCCGCCCTGGGGGTGGAAGCCACTCACCTGAGAGGTGGCACCATCTCCTGGATCCAGGAGGAAGGTGGCAAGGTGAGTGTGTGTCTGTGGGCGCGTGTGAAGTGTCGAGTTGGCAGAGTGGTCGTGGCAGCGGGCAGTGGCCAGCGCTAAGCTGCGCTTCGAACCCGGCGACCCGAGTTCGATTCCCGCTCACGGCCAACATCAGTGATTGTTATACCTTGAAACAAAAATATATTTGTTTTGTCCCTGGGTTGTAAGTGTTATTTCCTAATTGCTTATGCCTCAAAAGTGCAGAAAGTGGCTATTATTCTTATTACCCACCAACTTTGCTTTTGTGACCAGGACAGTGATATTTTGAAATGTACCTATTTTCAATGAGAAAAAAGGGTAAATTTGTGTCAATCCTTCACGTAAAGTCCTGGTCACAAAAGCAACGTTTGTGGGGAATAATAATAGCCACTTTCTGCACATTTGAGGCATAAGCAATTTGGAAATAACACTTATTACCCAGGAACAAAAATCGATCGTGTTACATAGTGAATTATCTGAACCGGTCTTGGGCCTCCCCTAGGTCGACTCAGCCTCAATGAAGACCCACCCTAATGGAACATCTTTGCCGGCTAAAAACATTTAGGCTGGCCTGCCTATGACCCATCCTGGGATTTAACCATGCTGGATTGTGTGAGGAGCTCACAAACCCTTGAAAGATCTGGACAAAGTCCCATCGGTGAGCTCCTCCAGCAGCCAAGGCCACGTTGGCTGTGTCATGTAGCCCGCATGCCCAGCCACCGCTAAACGGGCGCGGCACGGGCTAGAGAAGAGATGGAATGATGTGGTACGGGAGGACGTGGAGCTGAGTGGACTTACCGATGACTGGTACCAGCGGTGTCAAGATCGGCCTCTGTGGAGGAGGCTCGTGAAGGACGCTGCTACTGGGCAGTTGGAGGCAGTCGCCCTCCAGCAACGTAATTTATGGACGGCCCCTAAGCCACACTTTGTTGAGTGGCTGTCACTTGCGATGGGCCAGGTCGCTTAGGGAACGACGACTTTAGAAAGCTCAGTGGGCAAATTGCCTCGGTGAGGATGGAGGGGGCGGGTGGATGGTCTGCTGTTGTATCTGGAAGTGACACAGCGGATTTGTTTAACCTGACGCGTAACCGTTTGCTGTCCTGAGAAAAGAGCTTTACGGCTCTTCGGATTCCTCCTCCAGCGGTATAAAACGCTGATTCTGACCTCTCGCCTCCCTCCATACCTCCCCCACCACACACCAAACAAAGACAAAGGCCCCCGCGTGTAACCTTGATAGACTGTTGGGGCAAGTGCTGTTAGCGAGCGCTTATGAAGGCCGGCACGATACACGAGGGGGTTGGGTGGCCAGCACCACGCCCGGCCGCCTTTGTCTCCCCGGTGGCGATGTTTAGTACACTACCGCACCGGGTAATCGATTGAGGCTGAGTTGACCTAGGGGAGGATGCACAGGACCGGTCGTCATTGTGGCGTTGGTGGCCGTGAGTGGGAATCGAACTCGGGTGGCCGGGTTCGTGGCGACAGCGCACTAACTGCTGAACTACTTTTCCCCCCACCACACCACCACACCACCACACCACCACGCCACCACCACCACCACACCACCACACAACCACCACACCACCACTACCACAACCACCACGCCACCACCACACCACCACCACAACACAACCACCACACCACCACTACCACAACCACCACGCCACCATCACACCACCACTACCACAACCACCACGCCATCATCACACCACCACACCACCACCACAACCACCACGCCGCCACCACCACAACAACCACCACGCCACCATCACACCACCACACCACCACCACACCACCACCACGCCACCACTACCACAACCACCACGCCACCATCACACCACCACACCACCACCACAACCACCACGCCGCCACCACCACAACAACCACCACACCACCACCACAACCACCACGCCACCACGCCACAACCACCACGCCACCACCACGCCACCACCACAACCACCACACCACCACCACAACCACTACGCCACCACCACGCCACCACTACAATAACCACCACGCCACTACCACGCCACCCACAACCACACCACTACCACGCCACCACCACAACCACCACGCCACCACCACCACACCACACCACCACGCCACCACCACAACCACCACACCACAACCACTACGCCACCACCACGCCACCACTACAACAACCACCACGCCACTACCACGCCACCCACAACCACACCACCACCACACCACTACCACGCCACCACCACAACCACCACAACACCACCACAACCCAACCACCACAACACAACCACCACCACCACAGGTGCGTTTCAACTACATGCTGGCCTGGCGCAGGACCTCGGACGAGGGAGCGAAATGCACGGACGCAGACATCGACAGCGGAGCGCTCATCAAGTCCAAGCAGAAGTGGAAATGCCGGGAGGGGTGCCAGGGCTCGTACTCTCTCAACTTCGTGTGCACGGAGCAGAACGAGAACTCCAACTGGATGATCGGTGCCTCCAGCTTCGAGTTTGACGTGCCAGCCTCTAAGCCCACCGTCGTATCGTGAGTCGCCGTCATCGTCTGTGTGTGTACGTGTGTGTGTGTACGTGTCTGTACGTCTGTGTGTGTGTACGTGTGTCTGTACGTACGTGTGTGTGTGCGAACGTCTGTGTACGTGTGTGTGTACATGTGTACGTGTGTGTGTACGTATGTGTGTGCGTGTGTGTGTGAACGTCTGTGTACGTGTGTGTGTACGTGTGTCCGTGTGTGTGTACGTGTGTCTGTAGGTATGTGTGTGTGTGTGAACGTCTGTGTACGTGTGTGTGTACGTGTGTACGTGTGTGTGTACGTGTGTCTGTACGTATGTGTGTGCGTGTGTGTGTGAACGTCTGTGTACATGTGTGTGTACATGTGTACGTGTGTGTGTACGTGTCTGTACGTATGTGTGTGTGTGCGTGTGAACGTCTGTGTACATGTGTGTGTACATGTGTACGTGTGTGTACGTGTGTCTGTACGTATGTGTGTGTGTGTGCGTGTGTGTGTACGTCTGTATACATGTGTGTGTAAATGTGTACGTGTGCGTGTACGTGTGTCTGTACGTATGTGTGTGCGTGTGTGTGTGAACGTCTGTGTACGTGTGTGTGTACGTGTGTGTGTACATGTGTACGTGTGTGTGTACGTGTCTGTACGTATGTGTGTGTGCGTGTGTGTGTGAACGTCTGTGTACGTGTGTGTACATCTGTACGTGTGTGTTTACGCGTGTCTGTACGTATGTGTGTGTGCGTGTGTGAACGTCTGTGTACGTGTGTGTGTACATGTGTACGTGTTTGTGTACGTGTCTGTACGTATGTGTGTGTGTGCGTGTGTGAACGTCTGTGTACGTGTGTGTATGTACGTCTGTCATCTCGGTCATCTCGGTCAGTCGACCCGTGGCATCTGCGTCTGCCCCGTGACCTCCTGCCAGCGGGCGTTCGACACTTCACGTGGTAGCCTCAAGGTGCACATGGCCTGGCACAAGCGTCGTGGTGACGTCACCGCCACTTAGTGGCGAATGGCTGGTGTTGTTGTGTACGTGTGTGTACGTGTGTGTGGAGGCTGACACCCACCTCCCCGCTCCCCGTGAGCGGGCAGGGCGCGACGTCCACCCCCTCCACTACCCCCTCTTCGGCCACTTCTCGCCGGGCCCACCCCGATCTGGTGATCGGCCCCTCGCACCAGCGTCCTCTCTGAGGGACATACTCTTAGGTTTTGTCGGTAAAGTCACGTAGGTAAAAAAAAATTTTATTAATAAAAGTAATAATAGAAATTATTATGTTATTTCTATTATTACTTTTATTAATAATTTTTTTTTTTTTATAAAGTCACGTAGGTAAAAAAAATTAATAAAAGTTATAATATTAATTGTTATGTTATTTCTATTATTACTTTTATTAATTTTACTTTATTTAAAAAAATAAAAGTAAAATCAATCAAAGTAATAATATAAATAATTATTTTATTACTTTTATTAATTTTAATTTTATTTTTTTTACCTACGTGACTTTACCGAAAAAACCTAACAGCATGAATCCTTGCAGTCACGAAAGCTTCAAATCTGAGGGACATGGCTAAGCGGTTGGCTCCCCACCGCCCGGAGTTATCCCACACACACTCCCCACGTACACCACCACTCATGCGGAGGTGGCTGCGTGGACGCGCGGTGCCCGTGCGTTCGTGTGGAGGGGTGCGTGGAGATGGCAGCGCTGGTGGAGTTGCTCCGTTGCTGTGTCACCACATGTGTACGTGTGTGTGTGTACATCCTCATCCTCCTCATCCCCCTTCTCCTCGTCGCCCATCTCTCCCGGCAGCTTTGACGACTGCTGCTGGGTCAATGCGCTGGTGCAGAGGGCGGGCGGCCTCGTGGAGGCGTCCGAGTGGGACTGGTCGCTCATCACTGTGCTCAACCCGGGCGTGCGCAGCGACACGGGGGCTCCCAACGTCTCGCCCGTCACCGCCTCCAAGCCGCTCATCAGGTGCCGTGGGTGGGGGGGGGGAGGTGTGGGGGAGGTGGGGGAGGAGATGTGTGGTGAGGTGGGTGGGAGGTGTGGGGGAGGTTTGGGGAGAGGTGTGAGGGGGAGGTGGGGGGGGAGGTGTGAGGGGGAGGTGTGGGGAAAGGTGTGGGTGGGAAGTGTGGGGGAGGTGTGGAGGGAGATGTGTGGTGGGGTGGGTGGGAGGTGGGAGGGAGGTGGGTGGGAGGTGGGGGGAGGTGTGGAGGGAGGTGTGGGGGGAGGGGCAGGGGGAGGTGTGAGGGGGAGGTGGGGGGGGGGGAGGTGTGGGGGAGGTGTGGGGGGGAGGTGTGGGGGGGGAGGTGTGTGGGGAGGTGGGAGGGAGGTGTGTGGTGAGGTGGGTGGGAGGTGTGTGGTGAGGTGGGTGGGAGGGAGGTGGGTGGGAGGTGGGTGGGAGGTGGGTGGGGTGTGGAGGGAGGTGTGGGTGGGGAGGTGTGGGTGGGAGGTGGGTGGGGTGTGGAGGGAGGTGTGGGGGGAGGTGGGGGAGAGGTGGGTGGGAGGTGGGAGGGAGGTGGGTGGGAGGTGGGTGGAGGTGTGTGGGGTGTGGAGGGAGGTGTGGGGGGAGGTGGGGGGGAGGTGTGGGGGAGGTGGGGGGGAGGTGGGGGGAGGTGTGGAGAGAGGTGGGTGGGAGGTGTGGGGGAGGTTTGGGGAGAGGTGGGTGGGAGGTGGGGGGGAGGTGGGTGGGGAGTGGGTGGGAAGTGTTGGGGGAGGTGTGGAGGGAGGTGTGGGGAGAGGTGTGGGGGGAGGTGTGAGGGTGGTGGGGGAGAGGTGGGGGGAGGTGGATGGGATGTGGGTGGGATGTGGGGGGGGGGGAGGTGTGGCGGGAAGTGTGGGGGGAGGTGTGGAGAGAGGTGGGGGGGGGGGGAGGTATGGGGGTAAGTGTGGGGAAAGGTGGAGGGAGGTGGGGGGAGGTGTGGGAGAAGGTTTGGTAGCGATGGTGGCATTTACATCTGCAGAACGTGGAGAACCAGTGGCATCAACATCTGCAGAACGTGAAGAACCAGTGGCATCGACATCTGCAGAAGGTGAAGAACCAGTGGCATCTACATCTGCAGAACGTGAAGAACCAGTGGCATCTACATCTGCAGAACGTGAAGAATTAGTGGCATCTACATCTGCAGAACGTGAAGAACCAGTGGCATCTACATCTGCAAAATGTGAAGAACCAGTGGCATCTACATCTACAAAACACGAAGAACCAGTGACATCTACATCTGCAGAACGTGAAGAACCAGTGGTATCTACATCTGCAGAACGTGAAGAACCAGTGGCATCTACATCTACAGGAGATTATCCAACCTTCAAAGCCATTCCTCGTGTTTAGTGTACATGCCGTACAACACGTTTGCAACCGACAGGGAGTCCAATCGACTTACGAACAGTACCTCTGGAAAACTAACTCGTGCGTAAGTGGTCCTCGTACACTCTTGTGATGCGTCATTGTTCATTCATTCATCATGCTTCGTGCCGACCCCCCTCCCCCCCCCCCAGGCTGAAGGCTGGCTGCACCACGGTGTGGAACATCCCGGTGTACGATGCCGATGGGGACACGGTGCGGTGCCGCTACGCCGAGAACGGAGCACGCGACGAGTGCGGAGGCATCTGCGGAGTCGCCCCCTACGGAGTCCTCGACGAGGTGGGGGGTGGTGGTGGGTGACTTGGGGGGGGGGTAAGGGGGGTGGGTGATGGGTGCTCAACCTGTCCATATTTATAGAATTCAGAGTGACAGCTGTCGGTCGGTCAGTAGGTCAGAGGGTGATGGATGTGTGATTGAGCACTAGCTAGGACTCACTCCAGACAAATCACTCACTCACTCGCCCGCCCGCCCGCCCACTAATCTAGTCGCTCACGCACTTACCTACTCAGCCACTCACCCACGAACTCACCTACTAATTTACTCAGCCACTCACCCACTAGCTCACCCACTAATTTACTCAGCCACTCACCCACTAACTCACCCACTCATTTACTCAGCCACTCACCCACTAACCTACCCACTCATTTACTCAGCCACTCACCCACTAACTCACCTACTAATTTACTCAGCCACTCACCCACTAACTCACCCACTAATTTACTCAGCCACTCACCCACTAGCTCACCCACTAATTTACTCAGCCACTCACCCACTAACTCACCCACTCATTTACTCAGCCACTCACCCACTAACTCACCTACTAATTTACTCAGCCACTCACCCACTAACTCACCCACTAATTTACTCAGCCACTCACCCACTAGCTCACCCACTAATTTACTCAGCCACTCACCCACTAACTCACCTACTAATTTACTCAGCCACTCAACCACTAACTCAACCACTTAATTACTGAGCCACTCACCCACTAGCTCACCCACTAATTTACTCAGCCACTCACCCACTAACTCACCCACTCATCCACTAACTCACCCATTCATTTACTCACCCACTCATCCACTAACTCACCCACTCATTTACTCACCCACTCATCCACTAACTCACCCACTCATTTACTCACCCACTCATCCACTAACTCACCCACTCATTTACTCACCCACTCATCCACTAACGCACCCATTCATTTACTCAACCACTCACCCACTAACTCACTCACTCATTTACTCAGGCACTCACCCACTAACTCACCTACTCATTTATTCAACCACTCACCCACAAATCGAGCATCTTCGGTCAATTCATTCGCTCGCTCGCCCACCCACTCACTCAGCATATGACATCACTTTGCCTTTGACATGTTACTACCTTCCACCCTCCCCCCCTCGCCACACCCCCCCACCCACCCTCCGCACAGGCCGCCTGCGTCATCACCTTCACGGCCCCCGCGGACGCCGACGGCCTCTGGGCCCTGGCCCTGATGATCGAGGACTCCGTCAACTCGTCGCTGACCGTGGGCTCACTGAGCCTCGCTCCGGGCGACGCGCTGTCCGGCATCCCGCTGCAAGTCCTCCTTCAGTGTGAGTCGGCCTCGCCGTGGTCTCCGTGTACTCAAGGCAGAGGTCGCAAACAGGTTTTGATTCCTTACCCGTACCCGGCTGCACCAGGGTCGCAAACGGGTACCCATACCCGTACCCGGCCAGGTACGGGTAGCCGTTCCCTACCCGTACCCTACCTGAAATGAGTGACAAACGGTTACTCACCAGTGACTCACGGCCTACCCGTACCCATACCCGGCCGCACCAGGGTTGCAAACGGCTACCCGTACTTGTACCCGGCCGGGTACGGGTAGCCGTTCCCTACCTGTACCCTACCCGAAATGAGTGACAAACGGTTACTCACCAGTGACTCACGGCCTACCCGTACCCATACCCGGCCGCACCAGGGTTGCAAACGGCTACCCGTACCCGTACCCGGCCGGGTACGGGTAGCCGGGTATCGGGTAGGGTACGGGTATCGGGTACCTGGTTGCGACCTCTGACTCAAGGGCACCACCGCATTGCAGAAATAAATGTGCAGAGGGTGCTGTGAATGCAGTGGGCGAGGCGTGAGAGCAGTGGGTGGGCCTATGAACAGAGTAGGCAGGGCTTGTGAGTTGTGGGCGGGGCATGAGAGCAGTGTGCGAGGTTTATGGACACGGTGGGCGGGGCTTGTTAGGAGTGTGCGGGGCCTAAAGTTGGTGTTCGATCCGTTCTCTAACGCTGCGTTTGGTTTTCACAACGCCGAATTGGATATATAACGCGATGATGAACGTATTAGGAAACGCATTTTTTACGTCACGGGGATGCGGATTATATACGTAACGCGATTAGGGATTAGCAGTTGTACGTACGGCTCCATCGGTATAGCATCATCATCCCACTGGGTATTGGGATGCTGATGGATGCTTCTACCCACGCAGCCTGTGTGCAGGCCCCGTGTTACGCATCTCTCGCGATATCGCGGACTCGGCTCTGTATATTATTTATGATCGCGAGATTTTTCCGTAACGCAGCGTTCTTCTGGAACGCTACTACAACCGCCACGTTACCGGAGAAGCAGAGACTGTAGTTTTATAGTTTGGATGACGACGATGACGATGATGATGATGACGACAATGACGACGATTATGACGATGATGACGACGATGATGACGACGATGATGACGATGTTGATGACCATAATGATGATGATGACGACAATGACGATGATTATGACGATGATGACGATGTTGATGATGACGACGATGACGACGGTGATGACGACGACAATGATGACAATGACGACGACAATGATAATGACGATAATGATGATGATGATGACGACAATGACGATTATGACGACGTTGATGACGACGTTGATGATGATGACGACGATGACGATGGTGATGACGACGACGATGATGACAATGACGATGACGATGATGATGATGACGACAATGACGACGATTATGACGATGATGACGACGTTGATGATGATGACGACGATGACGATGGCGATGACGACGACAATGATGACAATGATGACGATGATGACGATGACAATGACGACGATGACAACGGCAGAGACGACAACGATAATGACAATGATGACGACGACGATGATGACAACGATGACGACGATGATGACAACGATGACGACGATGATGACAACAATGACGACGATGATGACGACCATAACAATGACGACGATGACAATGACAATGATGACAATGACGACAACGACGACGCCGACGACGCCGCCGCTGATCGCACGATGCCGTGCCGCTGTCCCGTCGCGCGCGACGCAGTCGAGCCGGCGCTGTCGTGCGAGATGCCGATCTTCGTGGGCGTCACCCCGGCCAGCGGCGCCTCCTTCACCGCCAGCCAAGGGGTGCTCTTCGAGATGAACATCGACGTCGAGGTGGCCGCCAACTCCGCCAGTTCGTGAGTCAGCGTCACGTCCCGCAGTGCTGCTGCGAATGGTGGTGGTTGTGGCCATGGTGGTGGTAGTGGTGGTGGTGGCTATGCTGCTGCAAATGGTGGTGGTGGCCATGGTGGTGGTAGTGGTGGTGGTGGCTATGCAGCTGCGAATGGTGGTGGTGGTGGTGGTGGCCATGGTGGTGGTAGTGGTGGTGGTAGTGGTGGCTATGCTGCTGCGAATGGTGGTGGTGGTGGCTATGCTGCTGCTACACGTGGTGGTGGTGGTGGCTATGGTGCTGCTGCTACTGCGAATGGTGGTGGTGGTGGTGGTGGCTATGCTGCTGCTACACGTGGTGGTGGTGGTGGTGGCTATGCTGCTGCTACACGTGGTGGTGGTGGTGGTGGCCATGGTGCTGCTACACGTGGTGGTGGTAGTGGTGGTGGCCATGGTGCTGCTACACGTGGTGGTGGTGGCTATGCTGCTGCTTCACGTGCTGGTGGTGGTGGTGGTCATGGTGCTGCTACATGTGGTGGTGGTAGTGGTGGTGGTGGCTATTGTGCTGCTGCTACACGTGGTGGTGGTGGTGACTATGGTGCTGCTGCTGCTATACGTGGTGGTGGTGGTGGCTATACTGCTACTGCAGTTGGTTGTGTTGATTGCCATTATAACATCTCGCCACCGCGGCAATGCAAAAATAATATACAAGTAAATAATTCAACAATCACAATCACGCCTCTGTAATGCCACGCGTGCCCCCCTCTCCTCTACCTATGTGCCCCCCCCCCCCCGCCCGCCTTCCCCCACCCCTTCCTCCCCCTCCTCACCCCATGTGGACCCTCCCCTCTCTGCCCCCCCACTGCCCCCCCCTACATCTGCTGCTCCTCTCCCCCTCTGTCCCCCAATTCCGTACTGCCCCCTCGCTCCTACCCCTCCCGTCCCCATGTGCACGCCCGCTGCCCACCCACCACCCCCAGAGTGACGATCCCACGGCTGGGCACGTTCGCTCCCGTGGGAGTCGTCAAGGCGCCCGTGGTGGTGGACCCGGGCAACCCCAAACTCTTCCACACCAAGGTGTCGTGGACGCCGGCCAGCAGAGACATCGGCAACCAGAGGGTTTGCTTCTACGCCTCCGAGAGTACCACGTGAGTGTGTGCATGTGTGTGTGTGTCTGTGTTTCTGTGTATGTCAGTGTGTGTGTCTGTGTGTGTCAGTGTGTCTGTGTGTGTGTCTGTGTGAGTGTGTTGAAAGATCTGGACAAAGTCCCATCGGTGAGCTCCTCCAGCAGGCAAGGCTGTGTTGGCTGGGTCATGTAGCCCGCATGTCCAGCCACCGCATGCCCAAACAGCTTTTGTTCGGCCGGATAGAGGGAGCTAAACGGGCGCGGCACGGGCTAGAGAAGAGATGGAGTGATGTGGTACAAGAGGACGTGGAGCTGAGTGGACTTGCCGATGACTGGTACCAGCGGTGTCAAGATCGGCCTCAGTGGAGGAGGCTCGTGAAGGACGCCGCTACTGGGCAGTTGGAGGCAGTCTCCCTCCAACAACAACGGAGGGCGGAGGAGCGACGCTCACAACAACGAGCGGAGTGCTGGGTGGATAAAGCACAGCAAGTTGGCACAGTAGGGGGCACAGGTGGTACATCAGCCAGTCATCTCAGTCATCTCAGTCAGTCGACCCGTGGCACCTGGGTCTGCCCCGTGACCTCCTGCCAGCGGGCGTTCAACACTTCACGTGGCCTCAAGGTGTACATGGCCTGGCACAAGCGTCGTGGTGACATCACCGCCACTTAGTGGCGAATGGTGGTTGTTGTTGTGTGTGTCTGTGTGTAGTGTAGCGGTTAGCGCGCTGCGCTATGAACCTGGCGACCCGGGTTCGATTCCCGCTCACGGCTAACACCAGTGACGATTATCTGAACCGGTCCTGGGCCTCCCCTAGGTCGACTCAGCCTTAAATGAGTACCTGGTGCGGTGTGTAAACATCGCCACTGGGGAGACAAAGGCGGTCGGGCGTGGTGCTGGCCACCCACCCCCTCGTGTACCGTTCCGGCCTTCATAGGTGCTCGCTAACAGCACTTGCCCCTACAGTCTGTTAAGGCTATACGGGGGATCTTTGTGTGTCTGCCCTCATGTCCATTTGTTCCCACGCTGCCCCTACGTCTAACACCGTGGGTGGCACAGCAAAGATTGTGGACTAATCTCCATCTGTCCCACTCTCCCTGCCTCCGTCTCTCCCTGAGCCGTGATATCGCTCGTACAAGTTTTTTTTCCTGCCCAGGCCGTCTGAATGATTCGCTCTTTTCTCTGTCTTCTGTTTTGTGTCTTCAACTCCGAAACTAGACAAGAGACAGAGCTCCGATGCGTGACCATCGTCGTTCAAGGTAACAAACGCAGCGAGTGGGCAAGTGCTCAATGGGCTGAGCCACCCCCACCACCCCTAATTTACCTCACCCACCACCTGTCCCACCCACCACCCCACACCACCTACCAACTCACCCATCAACCCACTTACCTCACCCACCACCTTACGCACCCACCACCCGACTCCCCCCCCCACCAACTCACCCATCACCCCACATACCTCACCCACCACCCCACCCACCATCTGACCCACCACCTCACCCCACTCACCAACTCACCCATCACTCCACCCACTTCACCCATCACCCCTAACCCACTTCACCCACCACCTTACCCATCCACCACCCCACCCACCAACTCACCCATCACCCCACCCACCAACGCACCCACAACCCCACCCCATCCACCACCTGACCGACCACCTCACCCACCACCCCTAGCTCCACCACCATGGCTCCACTACCATAACTAGTATACCACACTATACACTACACTATAAGATACACTATACACTACACTATAAACTACACTACACTATACACTACACTATAATTGTAAACGCTGTAGTGGGTTTCACTCTCCAACACACAACCAGTGAAGTGCTGTAACTAGTATACTACACTATACACTACACTATACACTACACCATAATTGTAAACCCTGTAGTGGGTTTTACTCTACAACACACAACAACCGGCGTCGCGTTGTAACGAGTAACGAATTGGAACCACGTTTTGTTCACGTGACACAAACATCCTCAACGATTGGCTGCGCCGGGCGCCGGTCAGCGGATTTAAACGACACCACGTTCATATTTACGCGATCTAACCCCAAAACAAAACAACATCTGCTGTGGGTAACAGCTGTCTTTGTGGATTTCACCCCCCCCCCAAACCCTCTCACAGCCGGTTCCGTGCCCATCTCATTCAGCTTCGACAACACCTCCGGCAACGACGTTGCCATCCAGTGGACCGTCACCTTCAACAAAGAGGTGATAGGGCGCGCGGCATGCGCGCACGTGAGGAGGCTCGCGAAGGATGTTGCCGTCGCAGTTAGAGGTAGTCGCCCTCCAGTAGCAATGGTCGGAGCGCTGGGCGGATAAAACGCAGCAAAGTTGGCACAGTGGCGGAGGGGGGTGGCACAGGTGGTGGTGCATCGACCAATAGTCAACTCGGTCCGTCAACACATGGCACCTGCTGGGTCTGTCCATGACCTCCTGCCGGCAGGCGTTCAAAACTTTGCGTGGCCTTTACGTGCACATAGCCTGGCGCATACGCCGTGGAGAAGTCACCGCCACCTAGTGGCGAATGGCGGTTGTTGTTGTGTGCACACGCGAACAGTGGCGATGTTTACGCACCGCATCAGGTACTCATTTGAGTCGACCTAGGGGAGACTCAGGACCGATTCAGATAATCGTCACGGTAGTTGGTCGTAACGACTAATCGACGGGCCTCCATAGAGCCCAATGTGTAGTGTATATAATTGTGTAGTGTATAGTAGTGTCGTGTATAGTAGTGTATAGTGTAGTGTATAGTGTAGTGTAGTGCCTCCATAGAGCCCAATGTGCTCACTTACCGACCATTCCCCTGTTAATGACGGGCTGTTGTAGCTACAGTAAATATTAATGAATGCATTGATTAACCTTGCTTATTTTAATATTGTGTTAATAATGCTGTTAGTATATTTACAAAACAGGAGGATTTCTCCACAAATCTGGCTGTCGCCTGATGATGCTCGTTTCAATTATTGGCGAAACGTCGTACTCAGATTTTAAATGTTGTGGCTTGGCTCTCCAACACATCGGTGTGCTGTACTAGTAACGAACTGGCACATTCTGTTTACGTGACAAACCTTGATAATTGGCTGTGTCGGGTGGTGGCGGGTTTAACAACACAACATTTATATATTTACGCAATTTAACCCAAAAAACACCTGCATTATGTAAAGTAAACATTTTTTGGGGTTTGAAAAAGGGGTAACTTCAGATGCTCCCAGAACGAATTGAGCCTTTAACGTGCATTTCCTATACTCGCTTAATGACCAACTCACTAACGACAGGTCTCATGGAACCAATGGCCGTCGGCTAAGAGGGGTTATATCCCAGGTCTGTCCCGTGACCTCCAATTCAACAACAGCCTTCTCACTTCTCCCACCCCACACTGAATTGGGCCTGACCTATAACCCCCTCCCCCCCACTAACCCTCGCTGATCCCCGCCCCCCACCGCGCCTGCGCAGGTCGCCCTTCCGTCGGCGAGTGGCGCCTTCTTCCGCTTCTTCGAGGTGCGGGGCGACCGCGAGGTCTTCAAGGTGGACGGGACAAACGCCACGCTGCTGGCTGGCAACACCCAGGCGCAGTTCACGAGCCCGGCGTCGGTCTTCAACGGTGGCGTGGAGCACTACATCACGGTGGACGAGGGCGCCATGAGGGGCGTCGTCGGCGGCGTAGGAGTCAGCAACACGAACGCGCGCGTCAAGAAGGACTGGCGCTTCCGGCTGAAGAAGGTCTATTACGGTGAGTGGCACGGAGGTGGAGGAGGGAGAGGAGGAGGGGGAGGAGGAGGGGGATGACGATGAGGAGGTGGATAGCAGTAATCATAATTTACGGTCGTTTGCAAGGTGCCATCCACTAATGTCTCGAGGCGCCTTGTATGCATAAAGAAAAAGATCACGTGGCTTTTTTTCGTTTAAAATTGCAACTCAAAGCGAGCCCGGCACAATACACCGGGGTTGGACACAGAAACTCCAGGAACGGCAACCCAATTTCAGCGCGACAGGAACCCTACGAAGGGACACGATCACGTGACCTTTTAAAAAATGGCGGCATTGCCGTGCGACAGATTAACCACGCGACAACGCCATCCCCACCGCCCGGGTGCTTTCTAAACCTCGGAAACCCGCCCGTAATCGCACCCCATTCATCGCCCGCCCGCAGCGTGGTGCCATGGCGTGGGCGACCCTCACTACCGCTCTTTCGACGGCAACCACTTCAACTTCATGGGCACGCGCACCGTCGTCCTCGCCTCCAACTGCATCTCCAACCTGCCGGTGCCATGGCGCATCCTGGTGAAGAACGAGCACCGGCGGCGCGCCGACGTGTCGTGGACGCGTGAGGTGCACACCGAGATCTACAACCACACCATCTCCTTCATCCGCGACAACAAAGTCCGGGTACGTGCGCCGCGTGTGTGTGTATGCATGCGTGTGTGTGTGCGTGCGTGTGTGTGTGTGCGTGCGAGCGAGTGTTTGAGAGACGAGGCTCGCGAAAGGATGCTTCGACCGGGCCAGTTGGAGGCAGTCGCCCTCCAGCAACGACGGAGGGCCGGGGAGTGACGCTCACAACAATGAGCGGAGCGCCGGGCAGATAAAACTTAGCGAGTTGGCACCGTAGGGGGCAAAGGTGGTGTATCTGTCAGTCAACTCAATCAACCCATGGCACCTGCTGGGTCTGTCCTGTTACCTCCTGTCATCCAGCCTGGCACATTCATTAATCCATAGCACCTGGGTCTGTGTGTCAGTGGGTGAGTGTGTGAGTGAGTGAGTTGCACAGTAGGAAGCATAGGTCGTGCCTCAGCCAGTTATCTCAGTCAACCCATGTCACCTGCGTGTGCATGCACAGGGACAAAGACGAAAGGTCCCCCGTGTAGCCTGACCGGACTGTTAGCGAGTAGCAGCACATACGAAGGCCGGCACTGCGGCACACGCAGGCAGGCGGGTGGCCAGTGCCACGCCCGACCGCCTTTGTCTCCCCAGCGGCGATGTTTACGCGGTCGTGGTGTTTGTGCATACCCCCACCCCTCGCTTCCGCAGCTTGACGGCGTGGCGGTGAACGTGCCGTATTACCACCCTGCTGAGCTTTTCCGCATCACCAAGTCTGGCGAGTACTTCGAGCTCAACACCGGTGCCTTCTTGAAAGTCGAGTACAATGGTGAGGGATTCAGTGAAGTTTGTTTCTTTTGCCTCGGCTTGCCGAAGAGCCTCTGAGTGACTCGACATGCCCTGCATCACAGCCACGTCTCTGAAAAGGCGTTGTTTTGTTATTGTTTTTGTTACAAACGTGACATTTAATTCTTTACTCGGCTTGTAGGGCTAAGTGGAGTTCAAAAATGCATGTGTGTGTGTGTGCATTACCCTGTGAGAGGCACTGCCTATCATAGGGTGAGGCTAAGAGGCCTATGTGGGGTATAAAGCCTGTTTAGTCTGTCGTTTGTCACACACGTGGTCGGTCTCTTCAAGTTCAAGTTCATTTATTAGGTATAGCCCTGTGAGCCATGCGGCTCTTAAGTCGGGTGCAACCACAACAAACAAAATATGAACACAGAACATATTAAAGCGACGACGTGTAACAGAAACATCCTGGAATAAACCAGCAAATATAAAAAAAAAACGTATTAAAACACTGTGTGCAAAAATTCCACTGTGGTGCAAGTCAACAATAACAACCATAAGACAATTTAGATGAACCATATGTTTTCGAATCACCAAAATAAAGCTATAAAAACAATGTTACAACAGTAATCATAGGAACTGTGATTAAAATTTTAACAATAAACGATATGCATAGCACGTACGACCAAACTTGCAGCCATAGCTGGCAGCATGCCACTCCCAGTGTATGATGTGTGAGTCAGCGTATGATGTGTGAGTGAGTCAGTGGTAGTGTGAGTGAGTGTATGATGTGTGAGTCAGAGTATGATGAGTGAGTCAGTGTATGATGTGTGAGTCAGCGTATGATAAGTGAGTCAGTGTATGATGTTTAGTTTTCAGTCTATTTGGTATAGCCCTGTGAGCCATTCGGCTCTTGAATCGAGCTGCAGTCACCAGCAGCAGGGGGGCCTCTATCAGAGGGCACCAATTTGCTCCTCAACCTGATCATAGATGCGCTTCTGCGGGCGTCTGGAATGCTCTTCCTTCCGATATTAGAAAGCCACAGGAGCTATGCAATTTTAAGTCATCTAGATTGAAATCTCATTTCTATGTATGGTGCGAAAGAAGTCCAAGGTACATACACACATGCATGGTCGCTGATGACATCACTTCCTGTTTGCACCAGGACAAAAAAAGGCCTCTTAACCCCTAATTCGCTAGCATTGTATTGTCCTTGGCAAAAATTGGTGAACCTGTGATGCCTATTTTTTTTATCCCGAATTACATTTGTATCACGATCGGACGAGGGGCAGCTCAGAAACCACCCCCCCTCCACCCCGCACCCCACTGATTCTCTTCGGCACTGCCGTGTGCAGGGATGAGTCGCGTGCGCGTCCACCTCCTCAACAAGGACGTCTACGCCGCTGCCACGTGCGGTCTCTGTGGCCTCTGGAACAACGACCCCAGCGACGACTTCATGACCCCCAACGGCACGCTGGCGGCAAGCGCTGCCGAGTTCGGCAACAGCTGGGAGCTGCAGGAGAAGGTCGTCAGCGAGAGGTGCGAGAGTGAGAGTTTCCCCCGGTCGAACGTTGGCGTCCGATCCGCAGTCAAAAAAAAGACTTACGTGTGCGCGAGTCACCCGTCGAGTTTGTACTCATTACCGTTGTCGCGGAGAGCAAAGCAGCGAAAAGCCAACGCGGCGGCACGTACGCCACCACGCGCTACGAACCCGCTCGCTTATGCATTCCCTGCCGACGCACCACGCCCCACACGCGTACCTCACCTCACGTGCCTCTCGCCCCTTTCAGCGGGAGCAGCGACACGGGTGTCTCAGCCAACGTCTCCCTGGACTACTTCCTCAACATCAAGGCGGGCTTCAGCGACAACTGCGGCCTCCTGAGCGACCCGGCGAGCCCCCTGGCCCCGTGCTTCGCCGTCGTGGACCCGGTGCCCCACCACGCCGACTGCGTCTATGACCTCGTGCTCGCCAAGTTGAACGTGGCCGTCCTGTGCCAGGCAGTGCAGGGCTACGTGAGGGCCTGCAATGGCGAGGGCGTTGCCTTCGCGGCAAACTGGAGGAATGCTACCAAGTGCGGTAGGTGCCTCCGGGAGGGAAGGAAGGGGGGGAGGGGTTATGGATGTCATGGTGGCTAGGAGATGTTAACTTCCTTGCCTGGTATACAGGAGGTTGTTGGTTCGATCCTGGCCCTGATGCCTGCTGTTTATTTGGAGTTAGCATGTTTCTCTCCACGTGGTCGTGCGGATTTTTCCCTGGGTCCTCCAGACTTTCAATTCCATGCGTTTAAGAGTGTTTGACTGCCACTTCGTGACCGTCTTTGTTCGACGGCAAGCCACATTCTGAAGCCCTTAAGATGTAGCTTACTTGGCTTAGGCCTAAATAATCTGGCCCTGGGTAGGTACCGGGGTTGGGTTACCCCGGCGATAGGCGGGGGTCGTGGGGGGGGATGGTGGCAAGCGATTTGGGGAAATGTGACGATGCATCGCGGTACACCACCACCAACACTGAAACTTCTAACAAAACAACACTGGACACGTGCATACTGCTGCTTCTGCGAACACTTCCCACCCCTAAAGAGGGTGCTGTTTTGCCAATTGGGGGGGGGGGGGGCGGCCGTGACTATGGCTGGCTATGGGCATCGGGATGAATAGGCACGTCGACATTTTAATTTCTGACTTAAAACTTTCGTGTCTGCAGGCATTCATATTCTTGGTTCTTTCGGTAAAGTCACGTAGATAGAAAAAAAAGTAATACATAAAAAATTGCATAAAATACTAAAAAACTAATAAATGTAAAAGAATAAACGCAAAAAACCCACGACGTTTCGATTGCAACACAAGCGATCTTCATCAGGCGTGACTTTACCGAAAGAACCAAGAATATTTAAATTCACACCGCTGATTTTGGGGTAGACTGCCAGACAGAAAGACACCCAGGGAAACACCCGATGGCTGTGTTTTGAGGGTAGGATACTCTTCATCAGGTAAACCTGATGACAGACGCTTGTGTTGCGCCCGAAACGTCGTGATTTATTTTATTTTATACCTACGTAACTTTACCGAAAGAACCAAAGAGTGTGAATTCCTGCAGTCACGAAAGCTTCAAATCAAGATTGAGTGTAGGATAGTTTTTGTTTGGTTCATTATTCAAGAGTAATTATTGAAGGGTAGGGTGGGGTTAAGAGGCCTACGTGGGGGTTAAAGGACTTTTCGGTATTGGTACTAACAGGAAGTGATATCATCAGCCACCATGCCCAGATTGAAGTGCAGATTGGCGCCCCCCTGTGGAGGACACCTGCTGCTGGTCACTGCAACCAGGATTAGACAGTCTTTAAACTCCACGTAGGCCTCTTACCCGCTAATCGCCACTAAGTGATGGTGACGTTACCACGGCGCCTGTGCCAGACCAGGTACACGTTGAGGCCATGTGAAGTGTCGAAGGCTCGCTGACAGGAGGTCACAGGACAAACCCAGCTGCCATGGGTTGGCTGACTTAGATGACTGCTAGATGCACCAGCTCCTGTGCCAACTCGCTGCATCTCAGCTGCCTAGCGCTCCACTCGTTGTTGTGAGCGTCGCTCATCTGCCCTCAGTTTTTGTTGGAGGGCGACTGCCTCCAACTGACCGGTAGCATCCTCACAAACACACACACACACAGAGGTCCACATACAGTGATGCACACACACAGATACGTGAAGTGATAGGGTGAGGTGGGTGTAAGGTCAGGCCTATTTTGGGGTAAGAGCCTGGCTCTGTCCTGGTGCTAACAGGAAGTTATGTCATCAGCCACCATGGCCAGGTTAAGAAGCAGATTGGCACCCCCTCTGTGGAGGTCCCCCTGCCCCTGGTCACTACAAGTCAATAGACCAACCACGTGTTTGAGCAAAGAGGACTAGACAGGCTTTATTCTCCACATGGGCCTCTGAAACCCACCGTACTATCATTACTTATTTAATGAGCATTATTTATTCAGTGTAATCCAAAGCATGAACCTCTCCACAATCGACTTCCATCTCACACACTATCACCAATCACACACAAAAGACAAAGATCCCCGTGTAGCCTTTAACAGACTGTTGGGGCAAGTTCCGTTAGCAAGTAGCACCGATCAAGGCCAGCTCCAGTATGCAAAGGGGTGGGTGGCCAGCGCCAAGCCAAGCCTGGCCACCTTTATCTCCCTTGTGACGATGTTTACTACACACCACACCAGGTACTCATTTGAGGCCGAGTCGACCTAGTGGTGTTGGTGGCCGTGCACAGTGCCCCAACCGCTAAGCTGCAATTCCCCCATCACGCCATTCACCACTAAATGGCGGTCACGTCACCAGGGCACTTATGCCAGGCTAAGTGCACATTGAGGCCACGTGAAGTATCGAACGCCCTCTGGCAGGAGGTCACGGGGCAGACCCAGTAGATGCTATGGGTTGATTGACTGAGATGACTGGCCAATGCACCACATGTGCCCCCTGCTGTGCCAACTAAAATATCCACCCATCGCACACACAGCACATCCTAGTGGCACTCGCCCACTCTCCGTTCCGTCTGCCCCTTTGTGAGTGCGTCTTTTCCCTGACTCTTGTCCCCCGCACCCACCAACCCTCGTCACCGACCACCGCAGAGATCGATTGCGGAGCGAGCGCGGCCTTCAAGGACTGCGGTAACGCGTGCCCGGCCACGTGCTACGACCCCAGCGCCCCAGCGGACTGCGCTGACGCGTGCGGTGAGACCTGCGAGTGTCTTGACCCGGCCCACGTGTGGGACGGGGACGAGTGTGTCGCCCCGGCGCTGTGCGGTTGCAAGGACGACGACGGCAAGTACTACAAGGTGAGCGTGGCAAGTGCGGCGAGTTCCTGCCACCTCGGGTTGGGGGGATGTGGGACTGGGGTAACAAGGGAATGGTTGCCGTCTCATCACTCATGAAGACGCTGTAGAGAAAGCAAGAGACCTGTTCTTATGGAGAGAGAGAAAGAGGCGGTCGGTTTGTCGGCCTTTAAAAATTGGGAAGATCTTGATCTTGGACTTGAACAGGGGCAGGGAGTCGACAACACGGAATTCTGGATGGAAGGAATTCCTAGTGATGGGGGACAGCAGTGGAGAATGAGCGAACCTTGACCGAGGACTTAGACAGAAAGCCTTGGTTTCTGGAGCAGAGAGTGTATGGTGATGTTTTACACACCGCACCATGACTCATTTGAGACTGAGTCGACCTAGGGGAGGCCCAGGACCAGTCCAGATAATCGCCAATGGTGTTGGCCGTGAGCGGGAATCGAACTCGGCTGGCCAGATTCGTAGCGCAGCGTAGCGCTAACCGCTACACCACCGCTCCACCCCACTCACACACATACGTCCAATCCTCGTGTGGCCATCAGGTGAAGGAAATCTTCTGGAAGAAGGACTGCTCCGCTCAGTGCACGTGCGTGTCCTCGGGCAACATCCAGTGCCAGAAGAACCCTTGTGACCTGACCCTGAACTACTGCGGCGCCGGGCCCCAGGGAGACTATGGCTGCCAGCCCAGAATCTGTGAGTCACTGCAGCCACGGTCAGCCCGCAGCATACACATGGGTCACCGATGACCATGGTAATTCCGAGATACGTCAGTGACTACAGTCATAGTCACCCCAAGCTAAGTGAGTAACTACAGCCATAGTCATCCCAAGTTACGTGAATAACTACAGCCATAGCTACCCCAAGTTACGTGAATAACTACAGCCATAGCTACCCTAGGTTACATAACTACAACCATAGTCACCCCAAGTTACATGAGTAACTACAACCAAAATCACATCAAGTTACGTGAATAACTACAGCCATAGTTACCCCAGGTTACGTGAGTATCTACAGCCATAGTCACCCCAAGTTACATGAGTAACTACAGCCAAAGTCACCCCAAGTTACGTGAGTAACTACGGCCAAAGTCACCCCAAGTTACGTGAGTAACTACAGCCAAAGTCACCCCAAGATGCATTACGGACAGGTTTGTTCGTATCTCTGAAAGTCCGTAAGTCGAATGTTTATGAGAAGAGGAATCGCCGTCCGTATTCCCGTCTTTGACCATGAGCTCCGCGTTGTGTATCACCAGTGGAGTGCACCGCTTGGGGCGACCCCCACTACACGACGTTCGACGGACGCAAGTTCAACTTCCAGGGCACGTACACGTACGTGCTCACGCAGGTGAGACCCGTGGCCTGCGCATTCGTACCCGAAGGGTGTGCGTAAAATTAATGTGTTTACGTAAAGTCCTTCGCCTTTTTTATTTTCTACTTTACAAGAGCCCGGTGAAAAGGCACGAAGCGTATCGAGCGAAGGAAGGGGTAACAGAACATTTCCGCGGGACGATCGAAGTCCAAACTCAGTGCTCCTGGGGGCCTCTGGGAAAGGGGAGGAGATTGGCACTCACTGCCCCACACATGTAAAAACGGCGAGTAGTGGGGACGTGAGGGAGGTTTTTTTCGGAGGAGGGCAAGTGCACCTCACAAAAGCTTCCGAACAAAGTAACCTACACCCGCCCAGTGAACCTGACGTAGGCCTCGGCAAGGTAAGGTAAAAGTTAAAAGGTAAAAACAACGAGCCTACCTTTACCCTACCTTTTACCCTTACCCCATACAAATTACCCGATTACAGGGTAATTACTGGGGTACTACTACACATAAAAAAGGTTTATAATGGTAAATGCTAGGTAGAGCGCTTTAATCATATAGAATATTCTCGATGATTCCAATTGTACACGCTTGTTGTCGTTGTCGTCGTTGTTGTATCCTCAAATCTTGTAACTCAAATTTAACCCACTTCCCAATGTGGTATCGACTGCAAACTTAGTATACTTATGTCATACTGATGACAATATATTCTCATAAAAAATATATATTTTAAACATAATTTTTATATGTTATTTTTCGCCTTGGGTCTCATTGTCCATGGTCAACTGATGTTGGCTGTAATTGGCCATGGTCCCTTACGTTGTGGCAAGCTTCGGGGCCGCTTCCTGGAGTCGTGGAGTTCTGCCATTACTCATACATTTTATAAAAGCGTGTTTTTAAAAAAGTTTTTTCCAATATTACTTATTAAATGGAGGCCACGGACTGCGCCACGGACTGTGCCACGGAGCTTTTAGCGGTAAACGAGGTACCGTATTTACCGGGTAATACTTCGCGCTACCTTTACCCTACCGGGTAATTCTTCCAAGCTACCTTTACCCTACGCTTTACCTTACTCCTTGGCATGTCGACACCTTTACCCTTTTACCCGGTAAAAATGGTAAATGACCTTACCTTGCCGAGGCATAACATGCCATCAGTATAAGCCGCGCGGAGCAGTGACTAACTCCCGTCTTAACGACTCCCCTTGGCCACCGGTAAGTACCCCGCTTTAACGCGTGGCGTTGGTTTTCACACCGCCGCCATGCATTTTCGCTATGCAAACGTGGGTTCATTTTCCGTTGGGCAAGGCTTATGTCACAGAACGCGCGCTCCGTTATAACACGTTAATGACCGCTCCGTTGCAACGTAGAGCGCTCCGCTCCGTTATAACAGAATTTCTGAGCGGTCGACGACGAACTAGTTTCTTGAGCTGCGCGGCTGGGCGGTATGGTGATGAAATCATACAGTAACATAAAATAATACGGTAACGCTGAGTGATACTTTAACACAGAGTGATACAGTAACGCAGAATAGTACTGTACACGGAATGATACAGTATGTATAGTAATACAGTACGTGGAATTATACAGTAACGCGGCGGCATACCCTCAGTTATTAGTCCCGCCATCTCACCGCACGGCGTGCTTCGTGGTACATCGTATCTCACATTACTTATGGGGAAATTGTTTTAGCTTCATTCGGCACTTTTTAGGAACGTATCTACTACCGCTATGACTAGCGTATTAAATGAGGACTTCCTGTATGTACGCATGGGAGCGGCAGCATAACGGTTAGTGCGCTGCGCTACAAACCCGGCAGACCCGAGGTTCGATTCCCGTTAGCGGCAAACAACACGACAGCAGCGCTTGCCCCAACAGTCAGCTTAAGGCTACGTGGGGGACGTTTGCCTTTGCAGCCGTGCTCGGGCGCCGACTGGAGCGTGAAGGTGAAGAACGAGAATCGTCCGGGCAACTGGGAGGTGGCGTATACGCGTGAGGTCATCGTCGACATCTACGGGTACCGGGTGATACTCGCTGCCGGCTCCAAAGTTTCCGTGAGTGCCGCGTGTCACTCTGACCCCAAACCCCCCTTCTGCTCCTGCCGTGTCTCCTCGTCGATGTCTCGCCCAGTGTGTCGTGTCTCCATCTGCTACTCATTGTCCCCTCAATCTCTAATCCCCCGTGGCCTCGTCTGCTCCTCAGGGTCTCTTCAATCTCGAAGTAATCCCTTCTGTGTCTTTGTCTGTTCATCAATGTATCCTCCTTCATCTCTCTATGTCTTCTCCAATGAATCTCGTTCTTTCCTCCATGTCTCCTCCTTCTCTATGTCTCCCCCACTGTATCTCCTGCTGTTCTCTGTTCTATTCATCCCTTTGCGGAGCTTCTCTTCTGCCCAGTTTTGTCATTCATGTAGCTTTTTTGTCCGTATGCTCTTTTTCCCCCTGTGTTTCCTGCTGGTGTTCTGTCTCCTACTCGTCACCTTATCCTCCTCTCTCTCTCTGTGTCTCCCCATTTGTAGGTTTCCTCTCCATGTCCCACCAACATTGCCTACTGTGCGATGCCTTCCCAAGAATTTAACCAACTCTTCCATGCGTGCCATTTTAACAGTGATTGTGATGTTTATATTCATAGTCAAAAAGCGCCCAACTCTCAATCAGATAAAACTGTGGGCTTAAACCTCAGTCGGGGTTTAGATCGTCGCATTGGCGTCCTTTCTACACGGTTGAATTAAAACGTGGCGCCACCACTACTTGTGAGGCCCACCGTTTTTTGCTCTGCGTTAACTATTTTCGTCCCGTCATGGGCAGGCAGAACTTACGCAATTAGCTTAGGGCTGCCAACAACTTGCAAACGGGGCGCCATGCCGTCGTTTACTCGAGCAGCGGAAAACCTCCCCTGACGAGTGAACGACGGGCGTAGTCCGATAGATCGCCCCCGCTGACACCCGTCGTCCAACCTCGCTTCGCCTTACCTCTCCCCTTGCAGCTGAATGGCGTGAGCCTGAACCTGCCATTCTACTACAACAGCAGCGGCCACGAGTTTTCAGTGACTCGCTCTGGCCACTACATGCGCGTGTCGGCCGACTTCGGCCTCGAGGCCCTCTACGACGGAATATACCGCGCGAGCGTCAAGCTGCCCACCATCTTTGTGGCGTCACTCTGCGGCCTCTGCGGCAACATGGACGGCTTCCCCGCTGATGACTTCACACGCCGGGATGGCTCGCAGACGCCCAGCGCCTCCGAATTTGGCAACAGCTGGAAGGTTGAAGAGCCGGGCATCATCGACACGTGAGCTACTGTGGTCTCACAGTCAGATCCTTTCCCCAAACGAATAAGCCTCGCTTGCCCAGCTTGGATAATGCCACACTTCGCGTGGTCTCGGCGTTTGCCGTATGCCTGTGTTGGGCCCGATGTTGAATGCACTAGGTCTGGGAATAGCGTTGCCAAGCTGTCCTTTTCCCCCATCCCCGCACCCCCCTCCCCTCAAGATTATCTTGTGTTTTTGAGGTGGCCGTCATTGGACACCTGCAGATCTTTCCAACCTGGCATTAAAAGTACACTTTTTTCTTGTCAGTTGCATAATCATGCACCACTCAAGACTGTGAATTCACGTGGAGTACTACCCTTGTTTGGCATTGTGAGATATGCTTCTGTTTTCCGTGATATATCCCAATTTTTGTGTTCTCAGTGTTGGCAACCTGGGACAATAACTTGCACTCAGCCAACTTATGGATGCATTCCCCTGAAGGGAATGGGAAGCCTATATTAGGCTGAATGCCAAATGTGTGAGACCTACGACAATGGCAGACCCAATGTCAAAATCTGAGGCAAAGTGGAAACCAGCAATAGGTCCAGCACCAAATTAATTAGGCTTATGACTACGCACAGTTTGTGCTAGTCCAAAAATACTCAGCATTAGGCCTAAGACAGTGCAGAGCCTATTATAGGCCTGAGAAAAATCGCAGTTTGTGCTGGCTATGTCTATTACCAAATGCATTATACTTTAGACGATGCAGAGCCTGCACTAGGTCAAGCCAAAGTTAAGTCAAATTCAAAACATTGCAAAAGCCTGCACTAGGCCTGAAATTGGATTCCAGAGTCACTCCCATTGCCCTCGCTGCCATGGGGCGTGAGGTGGCCATGTGTTGTGTTACGGCGTTTTCGCCGGTGACAGCCCTCTTACTTATTTATTTTTCTCTCTCTCTCTCCCTCCCGGTGGCTTTTGGGCCATGCAGAGGTTCCGACGACACCGGCAGAGCTGTGGTTCTTGATGCCAATGCCGTCATCCAGGCCCAGCAGAACGACTCTTGTGGGATCCTCAATGACGTTGCGGGCGTCTTCGGCTCATGCCTGGCGCTCGTCGAGTCCATGCCGTACATTGACAACTGCGTCTTTGACATGGTGCTGCTAAACTTTACTGATGATGTCCTCTGCAAGGCCCTGGAAGCCTACTTCGCGGCCTGTGTTAAGGCCGGGGCTCCCGTTGAAGCGTGGCGGAGTCCAGCCCTCTGCCGTGAGTGTTGGGCCGACATCTCGGCTCTCCATAATATTTACGACCGAAACAGGAGGATTTCTCCACAAATCCGGCTGTCGCCTGATGATGTTGGATGTTGTAATTACCGGCAAAACATCGTACTTGAATTGTAAATGTTGTGGGTTTACTCTCCAACACACCAGTGTGCTGTACTAGTAACGAATCGGCATGTTTTGTTTACTTGACAAACTTTACTAATTCGCTGTATCGGGTGGTGGCTGGTTTAACGACACATTTATAGTTACGTTATCGAACCCAAAACCTCTATTAATATTGGTCGTAAAAACCTACGTGTTAAAATCACTGCTCTCCCTTCGATACTCACCTGAGCCAGTGGTGTGAATTTTTTGCGTGATATAAATGCATTACAAATGCACATCGTCCAAAGATTAGCGAAATGGCTGGCTCATGCCGCTGCTAACAGAAGGGACTGAACTAACGGAAACTCTAAAAATCCCCATCTAGAGGTGTTTTTTATGTCTGCTTGCCAGGTCTCACTCCGAATCAGATGAGTGCCTTTATTTCGTTAAAAGCTATGTATCGCTGTGTGGAAGCTACCTGGCCTGTCGCTCCATACGAAGTTGTGGGTTCTTGGACACAGTTATACCATCCCACATCTATGCTTGCAAAGCCTGGACCCCTTTAAAGGAACATCTGTACCGGTTGGAAATATTTAGGCTGGCTTAGCACGGTTGGCTCCGCATTGTGCGAAAGAAGTTCAACACACACACATACATCCTGGGATTATCCAGACTCGATTTTGTGAGGGTCTCACAGATCCTTGAAAAATACGGATACAGTGACTCAGTGAGCTCCTCCAGCAGGCAAAGCTGCGTTACCTGGGTCATGTAGTCTGCATGCCCGGCCACTACATGCCCAAGCAGATTCTGTTTGGCATGGGCTGGAGAAGAGATGGGACCATGCGGTGCAGGAGGATGTGAAGCTGGGTCTACTTGCCGATGACCGGTAGGAGCTAGCAGAAGGCTCAAGAAGGACGCTAATGGGCAATTGGAGGCAGTCGCCCTCAAATCACGGAGGGCAAAGAAGCAAAATATTTGTGCTCATCTTTCAATCTCAGCCATTCACTCGCTCACTAACTCACCCATCTATCAGATCACCCATTCACCCACCCATTCGTGCATTTACTCGCTTACTCATTCACCCACTCAGTCACTCACTCACCAACAGCCTTTTGAGGATGCATGCATGCCACCTCTGAACGCGTCTTCATTGCTTTCTCTCATACACCTACCTACCCATTCACACACCCATCCATTCACACACCCACTCACCCACCCACCCACTCAGCCATTCACCCACCCACCCAGTCACCCACTCGCTCACTCTATAACGCACTCAGTCACTCACCAACAGCCTGTTGAAGCTGCACGACTCCACCTCTGCGCGCGTCTTCATCTGCTTTCTCTCATTCATCCACCCACTCACCCACCCACTCACCCACCCACTCACTCACCCACGCATCCACCCATTCACCCACTCACTCACCCAACCACACCTCTGCTCGCGTCTTCATCTGCTTTCTCTCATTCATCCACCCATTGACCCACCCACACACCTACCCACTCACTCACCCACGCATCCACCCATTCACTCACCCACTGACTCACCCACCACGCATCCACCCACTCACTCACCCATTGACTCACCCACGCATCCACCCACTCACTCACCCATTGACTCACCCACTCACCCACACACTCACCCATTCACCCGCTCACTCACCCAATCACACCTCTGCGCATCTTTCTCTCACTCGTCCACCCACTCACCCACTCACCCGTTCACTCACCCAACCATTCCTCTGCCGCCCACAGCTGCCCCGCAGTGCCCCGCCAACAGCCACTACTCGTACTGCGCTCCACCGTGCCCCGTGTCGTGCGTGGACGGCGCCGTCGAGGGCCAGTGCCAGGGAGACTGCGTTGAGGGCTGCGTCTGCGACATCGGCTATGTCCTGGAGGACGACGCCTGCGTGCTGGCCGACCAGTGCGGCTGCGTCTACAAGAACAAGTACTACAAGGTGATGCACTGCCTACTGCGGGTTGTTGTAACCATGAGGTCACCTGGCACACGTTGACTCACACACTGCAGCCTGTACTACCACAAGGTGGTGCACTGCCTACTGCGGGTTGTTGTAACCATGAGGTCACCTGGCACACGTTGACTCAGACACAGGAGGATGTTCCATAACTGTGTCGTTAGAACCCGCCACCACCCGACACAGCCAATTAGTGAGGGTTGTCACGTAAACTGAATGTGCTCAATTCCTCACTAGTGCAGCACACCAGTTGTGTGTTGGAGAGCCAAGCCACAACGTTTCTCCAGTAATTACAACCAGCTTCAACTAGATTTGAAGCTTTCGTGACTGCAGGAATCCATACTCTTTGGTTATTTCGGTAAAGTCACGTAGGTAGAAAATAAAATGAATCACGACGTTTCGGGCGTTTGTGTTGCGCCCAAAACGTCGTGATTTATTTAATTTTACACCTACGTGACTTTACCGAAAGAACCAAAGCGCAAATCAGCGCAACCAAGTGGCTGATGTCTTCCATCGTCATCATTGTGTGGAAATTGACAGATGGAGGTGGTCAGCCGGTGTGGGCCCCCCTCTCCCCTCCCCCCCTGCCCCCCTCTACCCCCCCCCCCCCCCATCGCTTCACCGGTGTCCTTCCTCGGTGGCAGGTGGGAGAGTCGTTCATCTCAGACGACTGCACGAGCTCGTGCCTGTGTGACGCGGGGGGCATCGACTGCCAGGCGTTCGCCTGCCCCGAGTTCTACGTCTGCGCCGTGCTGGAGGGGGGCAGGGCCGGCTGCGACGCAATCGTGGGTGAGATGATAATGACGATGATGATGACGATGATGATGACGATGATGCCAACTCATGATAACCTCCTGCACACCAGGCGAGGTAGTTAACATCTCATAGCCACCGTGATGATGATGAGAGACGCAAACTCCAAATATACAGCAGCAGGCATCGTCAGGGTCTGGGATCGAACCCACGACCTCCTGCACACCAGGCGAGGGAGTTAACATCTCCTAGCCACAGTGACGCCCCATCAAAACTGGTCCTGGGCCTCCCCTAGGCATACCAGGCGAGGTGGTTAATATCTCGTCTTGAGCGGTAATCCAACTCGTTGTAAGAGCCATAAGACAGGTAGTGAGTGTATTATTTCTGGAAATACATTTCATGTACAAACCGTCATACATTTGTTGACAGACTGGTTGTATTTGATTTGGAATATTCCAACTGTTTAGAAGCCTCCCTGTGGTAAGACGCTCCGTTCGTTGAACCCATGACGTCACTTCCGGTTTTTACAGTATAAATGGGGGGCTATGAGAAGAGCCGGGTGGGGAGTGAGTGGATAGTCTCATACCGTGCGACAGGGTGATACAGTACGTGAACAGGCGAAGATATAACTTTAGAAAACGCTCGTTTTTGTGCAACTAAGAAATAAAGAAACACTTTGAGTTAAGACACCTCAAACACGCGTCAGACTTATTGCTCCCACAAGTTAAGGCGTAGCTTATTTTCTGGTACAAGAAAGCTGCGCCTACACTCGGGTCGCCGGGTTCGTAGCACAACGAGCGAACTGCTACACCGCCGCTCCCCACTCTCCTCTTACCACCACCGCTACCACTACCACCACCACCGACCACCGCTACCACCACTACCGCTACCACCACTACCGCTACAACCACCACCGCTGCTACCACCACCACTACAACCACCACCGCTACCACCGCTACCATTACCAAGAAGACAAAGATCACCTGGAGAGCCTTAATAGACTATTGGGGCAAGTGCTGTTAGCCAGCTCCTATGAAGGCCAGAATGGCACACAAGGGGGTGGGTGACCAACACCCAGCAAGGGCCGCCTTTGTCTCCCCAGTGCCAATGCTTTTACACATCGCACTGAGTCGACCAAGGGGACGCCCAGGTACCGGTTCAGATCATCATCGCCGGTGATGACCGTGAGCGGGAATCGAACTCGGCACGCCGGGCTCCTAGCGCAGTTTAGCGCTAACCTTCCCACCCCGATCCATCATCCTCTCCACCGCCACCGCCACCCCCCCCCCCAGGTCACTGCCACGCATCGGGCGACCCGCACTACACCACCTTCGACGGCAAGTACTTTGACTTCATGGGCACGTGCACCTACATACTGGCGGCACCGAGACCCAGCTACTCGGGCTCTCACCCGGCAGCGTGGCACGTGCTGGTGCAGAACGAACACCGGTACGGCTCCACGGCCGTGGCGTACACGCGAACCGTTGAGGTGCAGATCGACCACGACGTCAACGTCAAGCTGCTGTTCGGTGGCGACGTCCTGGTGAGTTGGAGATGGGGGGGTGGGGACCAAGTAAGGTAGCACAAACGGGAGGCGGGTAGGGAAAACGTCGGGCACGGGCGTTGTAGATCGGTGATGCGTGTACACGTGTGTTTGCGCGTGCATGTGTTGAACTTCACCTGTGAGAGGGGCTGCCATTCTTCCACTAGGGTGGTGGGTGTACATTCGGGACCCCGATTAAACCCACGGTGGCCTGGTCTCAGCGAGACGATGAAAGTTGGCAGCAAGAATTTAATCATAGCTTGCAGCTGGGGATGCCGAGGGGAAATGGGTGAGTTTTTGGACTGTGGCTCATGCAGCTGCAATGGCTGCTTTGGGGACACGGTCAAAACCTCCCCAGAGACCCTGGCTGATGGAGGACATGTTCAGGCTGGCTGAGAAAAAGCGACAGGCCCACTCTCATCGTCTACAGCATCCCACATCAGAGAATGAGGAGGCTTACTGCAGCCATCGCTCGGAGGTTCAAAGAGCCGTGCGGCACTGTAAGGATGGGTAGTGGTCGCAGGTTGCTGAGGAGATGGAGTCTGCCTCAGTAGCCTGCGATCACTCTTTAACACCATCTAAAAAGTAACTTGCAGCGCCACACCTATTACCATCATTAGCGGAAAGAATGGTGATCCAATCTCCAACCCCCAGGAACAGGTTTTCAGATTTGCTGAGCATTTCTGTGAGATCTTGTAGGAGGGAGAATCCCTCAGCATGGAAAACATCATGGGGCAAAGTGGGGATGAACCTGCTCGGGCTGCAATGCCTCAAATATTGGAAGTAGTCACCCCCTGTGCGTGGATGGCTGAGGTGCCATCTGATAACGAAGCACAGAAGGCGATCCAGAGTCAGAGACCAGGCAAAGCACTGGGCAGACATAATCTCCCAAGCGAAATGCTGAGGGAGGGTGGTATTTGTGCGCAGACTGCCCTGTATGACATGATAATAAAATTCTGGACCTCTGGATGGGTTCTTCAGGATTGGAAGGGTGCCCTGGTGGTTCCCCTCTTTAAGAAGGGGGACTGCACATACTGTAACAACTACAGGGGCCTCTCACTCCTCAGTGTGCAGGTCCATGAGCCGATAGCCTCCCCTTCAACCTACATCATTATCATCATCAGCTGCACCAGCCCATAGCCTTGTCTGCACCTATAACATCATCAGCAGCAGCAGCAGGTCCCCCAGCCCATAGCCTCGCCTCCACCGACGTAGATGGAGGTCAATGTGGGTGGAGGAAATCAGTTGGCAGAGGGCAACCAGAGGGAGGATTCTAGGATACGGACGAGACCAGGAGATGGAGGAGACGAGGGTTGTGTGATGTTCAGGGGACCGACCAGGTCATGGAGAATGGAAGAAGGTGAGAACCAGTAGTATTATAACAGTGGTCAGCTACGGCCAAATAATTTGTCCTGCCATGTTTCAAATCCGACTTGTGGTCGCGAAAGCGATCAGAAATGTCTTTTCGTTTCCCCGATATAACAATCCCCACAGGTGCCCGAAACGTTGTGATTTTATTTAGTTGTTTTTCATTTATTTTATATTTTACCTACGTGACTTTACCGAAAAACCAAAGAGTATAGAGGATGATGAGAAAGAGAGAGAGAGAAGCAGACTCCGAATACATAGCAGCAGGCGTCGTCAGGGTTGGGATCGCACCCGCAACCTCCTGCGTACCAGGCGAGGCATTTAAAATCTCACGTGTGCAACCAGGTGAACGACGAGAGTGTGAGCCTCCCCGTGGGCCTGCCCAACGGCACGGTGGTGAGGGCCGGCAACTTCGCGGTGCTCTCCTTCCCGGCGGCGGGGCTCACCGTCAAGTACGACGGCTACAGCTACGTGGACCTGCGCCTCCAGGCGTACTACGCGCGCAACCTCAGCGGCCTCTGCGGCGACTTCAATGGCGACCCGGGCGACGACTTCGTGGGGTCCGATGGGGAGCTGCACGCCACCGCCTACACCTTCGGCAGCTCCTGGCAGTACCCGGTCGCCAGCAACATCTCGGCGTGAGTCGTCTCCGCCGCTTGACCCCAACATGAACACATACCCCTACCACGTGACTCTAACATGAGCACATACCCCTACACCTTGACTCTTAACATAAACACATGCCCCTACACCTTCTCCAGGAACGCCTCTTGAGCGCTAAGCGAGGTCTGCCTGTACCTATGTATATATATACACATATCTAGTATATATAAAATACACTCTGCCCCACCATGGTGCTGTGGATCGAACAAAGAGAGATGAGAAAGAGAGAGCAGAAACTTCGCACCGGATTTATTTGGGGGGGGGTGGCGGGGACGGGCAGGTGGTGACGGCATCCCCCATGCCTCTCTCTCTCTCTCTCTTCCCGTGGCAGCTGCGGCAGCGACTACGGTCGCGTCGTGGATCCCGACGAGCGCAGCAAGGAGAAGGCGTCCCTCCTCTGCGCGCCCCTCAAGAGCGCCGCCTCCCCGCTTGCTGCCTGCTTCCAGGCGGTGCCGCCGGCCCCCTACCACGGGAACTGCGTCTACGACCTGGCAATGACAGCGCTCAGCAATGAGCTGCGCTGCTCACACCTGCAGGGGTACTTTGACGCGTGCCTGGGCAGCGGAGTCCGGCCCGGAGAGTGGAGGGATGCCCTCGGCTGCTGTGAGTTTCTTTTGCTTCCTTCCGATATTATCATCGTCATCCTCGTCGGTAGTGGCGATCACTCGCGGTCAATCATGGAATGTCACGTTGAAATGTATATAGGGACAAATGCTCTGAAGGCGTGTTTTTAAAGGTAGAGGGAAAAAAGCGGAGGACCAGGAGAAAAGTCCACGCAGCCACGGGGAGAGAGACACGCAAACTCCATATATACAGGCATCAGGGTTGGGATCCAACCCATGACCTCCTCGGCATCAGACTATTTATTCGTGCTGCTGTGTGTCCAGTCAGGCGGGTAAGAACGTAGCAACAACAAACAATACAAAAACATGATGGAAATGCATGATTTCAAAAAAGGTAAGCAAATCACCCAAACACATATATATTAAACTAAACCATCCCCATCCTATCAGACAAAGCCCCACTGTGGCATTAACTTATTTTTCAACAGCGACCTGGCCACAAATGATAGCTCAACAAAGTGGCCTATCATTTGGACATTTATAGAAGCAAAATTAATCTAAATAGTCTAAACGCGTGTTTCTGTAACAGGCGAGGTGTTTAACATCTCCTTGCCACCGTGGCGCCCAGGGAGCCACATACTATGCCTCCTTTCCTGGTTTAAGTTCTAAGTTCTAAATGACCGATTGATCCAACAACTTCAATCTCCTTCTCCCCACCTACACCCGCACCCCACCCCGGCGCCCTCTGCTCCCCGACAGCGTTGAGCTGCCCGGCAAACAGCGCGTACAAGGCGTGTGCATCGCCGTGCCCAAGCGCGTGCGGCTTCTCCAACTTTGCGTGCCCCAAGAATCAGCCGTGCGTCGAGGCGTGCGAGTGCAGCCCAGGCTTCTTCCTGCACGACGGCGCCTGCGTGGACGCGGCCAACTGCGGCTGCACCATGGACGGCATCTACCATCCCGTGAGGCCTAGTCTGCTTCATCTGTGCCCAGATCTTAATCTACCATCCCGTGAGGCCTAGTCTGCTTCATCTGTGCCCAGAGCCTAATCTGCCATCCCTTGAGGCCTCGTCTGCTTCATTTGTGCCCAGATCCTAATCTACCATCCTGCGAGGCCTAGTCTGCTTCATCTGTGCCCAGAGCCTAATCGACCATCCCGTGAGGCCTAGTCTGCTTCATCTATGCCCAGAGCCTAATCTACCATCCCGTGAGGCCTAGTTTGCTTCATCTGTGCCAAGAGCCTAATCTACCATCCCTTGAGGCCTAGTCTGCTTTATCTGTGCCCAGAGCCTAATCTACCATCCCATGAGGCCTAGTCTGCTTTATCTGTGCCCAGATCCTAATCTACCATCCCGTGAGGCCTAGTCTGCTTCATCGGTGCCCAGAGCCTAATCTACCATCCCTTGAGGCCTAGTCTGCTTCATCTGTGCCAGAGCTTAATTCTTCTACTACGAGATGAGGTCTAGTTTACTGCATCTGTGTCCCTTGAGGCCTTTACTACTCTGGCATCTTCTCCTCTGCTCTGATCTTAAATAAATTCTGAAAGACCCCAAATTATGTTTTCTATCCTTTCAGCCCCCTCCTACAACCCCACAGTCATGCTTCCGCCACTAATTTATAATTTTGCAAGTGCCATCGACCGCTGAGTAGGTGTACAGGATTCTCTCGTTATTCGGAAAGGATAAGTTACGAAGATGCTCATGAAGAGCAAATTTCGCGGATAATGATATTGGCCTATGAAAACCTATCTATTAATACATTACCTTTAAATACGTGGAAATTATCATGACACAAACAGAATGTATTATAATCCACATAAAGTAAATAAAAATGAACATTAAATTATTAAATAACGGTTTGTAAATGAACTCACCTTTATCTCGTCAATACTGTATTCCTAAATCCCGAGTCCTAGACCCTGAGTGGTGGAACGTCGTGGGCAAAATGAATGTGGTTTGTGTGTGTGTGTGCTTATCCTGTGGGGAGCAGTTGTGTACACGACACTACCCAGCGGCATCGAGTTAAATTCCCGCTCACGGCTATCAATGCTGATGACGATAATCTGAACTGATCCTGGGCCAACCCTAGGTCGACTTGGCCTCAAATGAGTACCTGGTGTAGCGGTGTGTAAAAACATTGCCACTGGGGAGACAAAGGCGGACGGGCGTGATGTTGGCCTCCCACCCACTCGTGTGCCACAGTCGGCCTTCGTAGGTGCTGCTGCTCGCTAGCAGCACTTGCCCCAATGGTCTGTTAAGGCTACATGGGGGATCTTTGTCCATTTGTTCTGTGGTGCAGGTGGGCGAGGAGTGGTGGTCGTGGGACTGCTCGCACCACTACACCTGCTACTCGCAGTACAACGTTTCGGACGACCTCGGTGGGTGCTTGGACAACGAAGTCTGCTTCCTCAAGGACGGAATGCTGGGATGTCACCCCGGTGGGTCCGCACACACACATACGGCAAACAATAACACACCGTTTCGGACACCGAGAATCTCTAACTGTCACAGCCTCACGTCAGTTTCTTTGCTGTCACCCCCTCGCTGTGGAATGCACTCTGACTTTTAAGAAACATCTAAAGGCCTCAGGCCTTGGAACCTGATTGGCTCACCAGTGACGACATCACATTTATCCCTCCATTTAAGACCGAAACAGAATTTCTCCACAAATCTGTCTGTCGCTTGATGATGCTCGTAATTAGTGGCAAAACGCCATGGTACTCGACGCAAATGAAGACGACGAAGAGGGCAACGCTAATGAAGATGACAACGGTGACGACGACATTAATGAAGACATTGATGGTAACGCTAAGACAACGGTGACGCTAATGAAGACGACGACCGTGACGGCGACGACCGATGACGGCTGACGATCCGTTGCTCTCTCCCATTTCAGCCGAGCTGGAACTGTCGTGCCAGGATGAGCGAATGTCGGCCCGCATCCCCAAGGTGCTGGTGGGCAAGCACAACGCGAGCGAATTCGCGCTCAACGACGGCTCGCTCCCGGGCTGCTCGCCGCTCGACGATGGCCAGTTTATCGTCTTCGACATTGCCATCGTGGATTGCGGCGCCGTGTGCCAGGTGCGATGCATGTGGTAGTGTAGTGGAATGTATAGTCGCGTAGTGTATAGTAGTGTAGTGTATTGTAGTGTATAGTAGTGTAGTTTATAGTAGTAGTGTAGCATATAGTAGTGTAGTGTATAGTAGTGTCATCTATAGTGGTGTAGTATATAGTAGTGTAGTGTCTCGTAGTGTAGTGTATAGTAGTGTAGTATATAGTATTGCACTGTATAGTATTGTAGTATATAGTAGTGTAGTGTATAGTAGTGTATTATAGTGTAGAGTATTGTATAGTAGTGTAGTATATAGTAGTGTATAGTATTGTATAGTAGCGTAGTGTATTGTAGTTGTCGTGTATAATAGTGTATAGTAGTGTCGTGTATAGTAGTGTATAATTGTGTAGTGTATAATATGGTAGTGTAATGTATAGTAGTGTAGGGTATAACAGTGTAGTGTATAATATAGTATTGGTGTGTATAGTAGTGTATAGTAGAGTATTGTATTCTAGTGTATAGTAGTGTAGTGTATAGTAGAGTATTGTATTGTAGTGTATAGTAGTGTAGTGTATAGTAGTGTAGTGCATAGTAGTGTATAGTGTATAGTAATGTAGTGTATAGTAATGTAGTGTACAGTAGAGTATTGTATTGTAGTGTATAGTAGTGTAGTGTATAGTAGAGTATTGTATTGTAGTGTATAGTAGTGTAGTGTATAGTAAGTAACTCGTCTCGCTACCGTCACCCCCCCCCCCCCCTTCCTAGGAGACGGATTCGCAGATGATCTTCTCTCAGACGCTCACCCTCAAGTCGGCCAACAGGAGCCTGCCCATCATCCGCAACTTCAAAGATGTCCAGGTCCCGCTCACGTACGTGCCCCCCCCCCCTCGCTCTTACCCCCCTCGACTATGTATTACATCATCCATAAATGACGTCACACACCTAGGGCGGAGGGGGGGGGTCAGACATTTGTGACGATGTGTGACGAGGGGGTGGGGGTGTTTGAGAAATGTGACATCACATCAAAATGCGCTACTTTAAATAAATATAGAATTATTATAATACTAATTGTTATAACACTCTTACAACATCAGAGCGTAGCGCCACATTAAATACGCACTACAATGACAATAGTTTAAAGTTATTTGAAGCATGTTTTATTTTCAAAATGGAAATATGGTTTTGCGGGGGGGGGGGGGGGGGGGCAGAGCTTTGTGACGTCATATTTCAGGGGGGGGGGGTCTGACTTTTTGTGACGCCGTGTGACGAGGCGGGGGGTCAAAAATCGTCCAAAATCGCGTGACATCATTTATGGACGGCCCCTAAAGCGAATGCATAACCTCGACCTCTGCTCAGAGTGACCACCTCCACTCTCCCCCCCGCCATTGAGACCACCTCACTGCTCCGGCCATGTTGACAGGCGATGGACATGCCCTAGTCTATTTGCTCATTCAACGCCTCGCTTGCTTCTCATCATCTTATTCTTCATATTCTTCTTCATCGTCGTATGGGGGGGGGGGGGAGTGGAAGCGGCTGCAGTTTGATTGTCGATGTTCGCCATCCATACGACGGCTTCACGCGGCGAGGCAGAGTGAGTGGTCGCGATGCCGCTGCTGCCAGATACGTACATACGGGAACTCCCGCCATCTCTCTTTCTCTCTGAACATCCTGACTATCAACTCTCATCTCCACCTCATCTCCACGATCTCTCTCTGTGAACATCCTCATCTCTTATGTCCACAATCTCTTTCTGACCATCTTGAATCTCATCTCCATCTCAACGATCTCTCATCTCATCTCCATGATCTCTGTCTGACCATCTTGAATCTCATCTCCATCTCAACGATCTCTCTCTGTGAACACCCTCATCTCTCATCTCATCTCCATGATCTCTGTCTGACCATCTTGAATCTCACCTCCTCGAACTTCTCTGTGAACATCCTTATCTCTCATCTCCATCTCATCTCCACGATCTCTCTCTCACCATCTCTCCTCATCTCTTTCTCTCTCTCTCTCTGTGAACATCCTGACTCTCGTTTCTCATCTTAATCTGATCTCCACTGTCTCTCTCTTTCTCTCTCTCTGTGAACATCCTCATGTCTCATCTCCATCGCATCCCCACGATCTCTGCCACCGTCTCACATCGTCTCTTGCTCTCCAGGTGTAAGTACGACAAACGCCGCAGCCTGGCGGTGAACTTTGTGCCGGACACGGGCAGCATCTTCGTGACGGAGACGGGCTTTGGTGACTTTGTCTTCAACATCGAGCTGTACCACTCCGAGCGCTTCGCGCTGCCGTACAAGAAGAACGACTACCCCGTGCACTTCAAGGAGAACGAAATCGTCTTCGTGCAGCTCGCCGTCAAGTCCAACCTGAGCGTGTCGCTCTTCACTGAGAACTGCTTCGCGACCCCCAGCGGGGACCCCCAGGACCCCATCCGATACGACCTTGTCAAGAACGGGTACGCGAACGGAGACCACTGACACCGCCCGTGGAATAGCATTGTGCACGGAGTAACATTACACGTAGACCCACATTGCCCGTAGACTAACATTTCCCATAGACTAACATTGCCTGTAGACTAACATTTCCGATAGACTTTAATTGCCCGTAGACTAACATTACCTGTAGACTAACATTGACCATATACTAACATTGCCCATAGACTAACATTGCCCATAGACTAACATTACCCATAGACGAACATTGCACGTAGACTAACATTGCCCATAGACTAACATTGCCCGTTGACTAACATTGTCAATAGACTAACATTGCTCGTAGACTAACATTGCCCATAGACTAATATTGCCCATAGACTAACATTACCCATAGACTAACATTGCCCGTAGACTTGCTCTCCAGTCGATGTGGGTGAACAGTGCAACCGAACTCCATCCCGAGCTCGACTCAAGCACCTCGGCAGAACGAGCAATAGAAGTTTAACACGTCGTAGGCTTTCGCGACCACTATGATCCACAATACAGGTTTTGTTGGGTTAGATCGCGTAAATATATTAATGTTGTGTCGTTAACCCCACCACCACCCGATACATACAATTAGTAAGGTTTGTCACGTAAACAGAAGATGGCCAATTCGTTACTCGTACAGCACACCAGTTGTGTGTACGACGTTTTGCCAGTAATTACAAGTAGCTTCATCAGGCAACATGTCGTACTAAGATTGTAAATGTTGTGGATTAGCTCTCCAACACACAACCGGTGTAGTACTACACTATACACTACACTGTATACTACACACTACGCTACACACTACACTGTTGTGGATTTTCTCTCCAACACACAACCGATGTAGTACTACACTATACACTACACTACACACTACGCTACACACTGCACTGTTGTGGATTTGCTCTCCAACACACAAACGGTGTAGTACTCCACTTTACACTACACTATACACTACACTATGCACTACACTATACACTAGCGCTGTACTAGTAACGAATTGGCCACCTTCTGTTTACATGACAAACCCCTTACTAATTGGCTGTGCCGGGTGGTGGCGGGTTTAACGACACAACATTTACATAATATGAGATCTCTTTTACCAGTGGCAAAATATAGTAGTAGGTTTTTACCCTTTTAAACTGGTACAAAACTGACACCTTTATTCAAGGCATCATGTTTGCAATGACCACAACACAAGTAGTCAAAAAAGCAAACAAAAAGAAGCAACTCTGATAATGATAATATGCACTGTCCTTGAAGTTGATTGGTCCACACCCGAGACGGCTTTCTTTAGAGTATTGAGAGATATTGCACTGTGTTTGAGTTGTACGCCTTCTGGTGTCAGCTGGTCCAACACCAATGGGGACTAGGCTCTAAAGAAAGCTGTCTCGGGTGTGGACCAATCAACTTCAAGGACAGTGCATATTATTATAATTATCAGAGTTGCTTTTTTTGTTTGCTTTTTTGACTACTTGTGTTGTGGTCATTGCAAACATGGTGCCTTGAATAAAGGTGTCAGTTTTGTACCAATTTAAAATGGTAAAAACCTACTACAACATTTACATATTTACGGGATCTAACCCAACAAAAGCTGTATAATGGACAACAAAGGAATGGCCCACCGCGGGTCACGTGACCTCGTCGAGAATTCCTTCCTCCGCTGGAATCTGACGACGTTTCCACGCCCCGGACTCGTGCCGTCAGTCGCACAATGACCGTCAAACTATTGGCGAACTATTTGAACAAGTTTAGTTTTTTTTCTTTAGCAGGCGTAAGCCCTTTCAACCCCTGCCGCCACTGAGCTATGTAGAAGCTCTCTTTCAGAAGCCACCTTACCTGGCTATCACAAATTATAGCCGCTCAACCAAATTGCTGATACTAACAACATCAACATCATCATCAATTGGAGATGTATAGCGGTAGCCGAATACTCTCCCAAAGCGTGACCACGGGGAGAGAGAGAGAAAAAAAAAACAAGCAAACACCAAATCTACAGCAGCAGCAGCAGGCATCGTCAGGGTCGGGATCGAACCCCCGACCTCCTGCATACCAGCAGAGGTAGTTAACATCTCCTAGCCACCGTGATGATGATGAGAGCGAGACGCAGACTCCAAATATACAGCAGCAGCAGGCGTCATCAGGGGTCTGGATCGAACCCACGTGACAACTTTCACCCCTACCCTATCCCTCCCCTACCCCCCCCCCCAAACAGCTGTGTGCTGGACCCAACGTGGAAGAGCTACAGCAGCTTCCTCAAGAAGAACCAGTTCAGCTTTACCGCTTTCGCCTTCGTCGGGGAGTTCAAGCAGGTGGGCGCAAGAGATGGGACAACCCCGTGGTGGTTGGGAGTGTGGGGGGGAGAGTAGTGGGGTGAAGCGGTGCACCGAGCCTAGCACAAGCACCGTGTCGCAAGGCTAGAGGGGGAGCGGTGGCGCAGAAGTTAGCCGTCGGCGGGCATCTGCTGCGCTGCGCTTCGAGGCTGGCTGAGACGCGAGTTTGATGATTTGAACCGGGTCCTGGGTGCTCCCCCCTAGGTCGACTCGGCCTCAAAACAATGAGGGAGAGACCACGGCGGCCCGGGCGGCCGGGGTTTTGGTGCCGTTCCGGACCCAGTGGCGGCCTTCGTAGACTCCTAACAGCACTTTCCACCACACAGTCTGTTCTGGCTGTTGCGTGTGGGCAGTTGGGGGGTGGGTGCTGATTCGTGTTTAACGGGGGGGGGGGGGGGACTGTGTGGTGGCTTAGCAGAGTTCTAGCAAACCCGAATGGGATTCGCCGCCATGGCTGAACTTCCCTAGGTTGACTTCAGACCTTACGTGGCCGCCTGGAGCTCTTCACCCCCATGCACCCCCCCCGCCACACTCCCCTCCCCAGGTGTCCCTGCACTGCAACGTCACTGACCCACGTGTCCCCCCCACTGCAACGTCACTGACCCACGTGTCCCCCCCACTCCTCCCCCCCAGGTCTTCCTGCACTGTGATGTGCTGGTGTGCAAGGCGGGCCAGGCGGGCACGCGCTGCCAGCAGGGCTGTGTGAACAGCGCCCGTCGCAGGAGGAGCGCTGGCGCCATGGGCGAGATCGTCGAGTCGGCGGTGCACACCGTGTCCCGCGGGCCGCTCATCATCGGGGAATCAAACCGCTCCTCCGGTAATCACGGTGGCGGCGGCAGTAGCGGTGGCCTCCTGCCGGCGGGCGTTCGACACTTCACGTGGCCTCAACATCACCGCCACCCAGTGGCGAATGGCGGTTGTTGTTGTTGGCGATGATGGTGGTGGTGGTGATGACAGTGGTGACGATTATTATCTGAACCGGTCCTGCACCTCCCCTAGGTCGACTCAGCCTCAAATGAGTTACTGGGGGGACGAAGGTGGCCGGGCATGGTGCTGGCCACCCACCGCCTCTTGTACCACATTGTCGGCCTTTATAGTTGCTCTCTAACAGCACTTGCCCCAATGGTCTGTTCAGGCTATGCGGGGGATCGTTGTTTGTTTTTTGGTGATGATAATGATGATAGTGGCTGATGATGGTGATGATGACGGTGGTGGTCAAGACACGATGGAAACACCCAACTAAGATTGTGCCATGGGGATAGGCAATTACGACGCCTTCTGGCCAAATCCCATTTGACGGATCCAGACTGATAACCCCAAACCCCTCTCAGGAAACAGGCCACATGTGGAATGGGCGTCCATTTAGGACTCCATTCAAACCCACAGTGGCCTGGTCTGATAGTTGCACGCGGGAATTCCAAGCATTGCTTGCAACTGGGATTAGAATCTTCCCCCATCCCCCTCCTGATGCTGAGGGGAAATTGGTGAGGTTCTGGACTGTGGCTCGTGCAGCTGCAATGCTTGCATTGGGTATGCAGTCCAGACATTCTCAGAGACCCTGACTGAAAGAGGAGGAGGTGTTCCGGCAAGTTGAGAAAAAACGACAGTCCCTTTCCCACTGTCTACAACATCCCACTTCGGGGAATTAGGAGGCTTACCGCAGCCTTCGTTCAGAGATTCGCAGAACTGTGTGGCGCTGCAAGAATGGGTGGTGGGCACGAGTTGTGAGTGGCTGGTTGAGGTGCCTTCAGTTGAGGAAGTACGAGGGGCGATCCAGAGTCTGAGACGAGGAAAAGCGCCGGGCAGAGATGATTTCCAAAGCGAACTGCTGAGGGAGGGTGGCGTTTGTGTGCAGACTGTCAAACGTGACATCATCACAAGTGTCTGGACCACTGGATGGGTTGCGCAGGATTGGAAGGACGCCTTGGTGGTCCCCCTCTTTAAGGAGGGGGACTGCACAGACAGTAACAACTACAGGGGCATCTCACTCCTCAGTGTGCCGGGAACGGTCCTGGAAAGGATTATTCAACATCACCTTGACAGGCACGCTGTGGAGAGGCTTGCGGAGCCCAATGCGATTTCAGGCCGGGGCGGTCCTGCACAGACGCCATATTCTGTATGTCTGCTACAGCAGAGGTGTAGGGAATTTCAAAGGGACTTACATCTCTGCTTTACTGACCTGGTCAAGGCAGTTCTTCATGCTTTCGGAGTCCCTGACTATCTGCTCACAATCATTAAGGGCCTTCATGATGGTGGGCAGGCCCAGGTAAAGTTGCGTGGCCGTGAGTCAGAGCCATCCCCTGTTCACCTTGGGGTGCGACAGGGATGTCCTCTGGGCGCTATATTATTTAACATCATCTTTGACCACGCAGTTCGAGAATATTTCATTGACTGTACCAGTGAAATTTCTATCTGGTCCTGATACAATGGGAGGCTGAACGATGCACGGGTGTGGTCAAGGGATGACTCCCCATTGGTAAACCACGTTATGTATGCCGATGATCTGGCGATTGCAGCTCAGTCTGAGAGGTTCTGCTGCTGCTGAACCTAGAGTGTGCCACTAAGAGGTGGGGCCTTACCATCAGCCCCACCAAAACCAAGCGCCTGCCTGGGTGTTTTGTCATCAAACACTCCACTCGTCTCAACTTCCCACGAGTGATGGGGCAGTTGTGGAGAGAGTGGAGAAGTTTCCGTGCCTGGCAGCAGAGGTGCCAAACCTCTGCCGGTCATCTCAGTCAGTAAACCCATGGCACCTGGGTCTGTCCGTGGCCTCCTGTCAGCAGAGAACCTTCAACACTTCGCGTGGCCTCGGCGGCGTGGCTATGTCACCGCCAGTTAGTGGTGAATGGCAGTCGTTGTTGGTGGTGGTGGTGGCGGAAAAGATGACGATGATGTTGATAGTGATGGTGATGAAGTTGATACTGATAGAGGATTATGTTGATAGTAATGACGATGTCGATAGTGACGATGTTGATAGTGATAGCTATTATGATGATGTTGACGACAGCAGTGATGATGTTGATGGTGACGGTGACGATGATGATGACCATGCGATGGTGACGACGTGCACTTTTCTCTCTGCCGGCACCACAGTGGCCGTGTCGCAGTTCGTGACTCCGATCGCCGTCATCGCCGCCGCCTTCATTGTGGCGGTCGCCCTTGTCTACCGCAAGAAGCGATCCTTGCGCAGAGGATACCGGCCACTGTCTCCCCACTACTCCAGATAGATCATCATCATCATCATCAACATCATCACCATCATCATCACCATCATCACCATCATCACCGTCATCACCATCATCACCATCAAGATCAACGTCTCCGTTGCGCAGAGGAGATACCGTCCCTGTCTCCCTACTCGTCCAGATAGACCACCATCAACATCATCACCATCATCACCATCATCACCATCAACATCATCAACGTCAACATCATCACCATCAACAACATCATTACCATCAACAACATCATCACCATCAACACCACCATCAACATCACCATCAACACCATCATGATATCAACACGATCATTGCACAGAAGATGCAGCAGGTCTTCTGCAGACCCCTATGGATCGACGCAATCAACATCATCATTAAGACATCACCACCACCATCATCACCCCGCACCTCCGATTAGCACGGTTGGCTATGCACTGTGAAAAAGAAGTCCAACATACATACATCATTATCGGGCAAAGCGAGTATGGGAGCAATGTTATTTTATGGGCAATGTTAGTCTATGAGCAATGTTAGTCTATGGGCAATGATAGGCTATGGTTAATGATAGTCTATGGGCAATGTTAGTCTATTGGCAATGTTGAGTCTATGGGTAGTGTTAGTCTATGGGTAGTAATAGTATATGGGTAGTGTTAGTCTATGGGCAGTGTTGAGTCAATGGGTAGTGTTGAGTCAATGGGCAGTGTTGAGTCTATGGGCAGTGTTGAGTCTATGGGTAGTATTAGTCCATGGACAGTGTGTATGTACGTTTAACTTCTTTCGCACCGTACGTAGCCAAACGCGCCAATCGGAGTAATTACGATTGTGCAAACTTAACACACCAAAAAAAATCAGTCCTAAAAAAGTGAGTTTGTTGATGCTTATGTAAAAGTGCATCACAGATCCCACTGGCTTCCTAACATCAGAAGGGAAGAGAGCGTTCCAGACGGGCCGCAGCAGCAGAACCTGAAAGCACCGTGTGACGACAATGCAACTTTGGTGGTGGCGACCGCGGTGGTGGTGGTCGTGGTGATGGTGGCACAGTAGGGGAAGTACAGCCGGTGGTTGCATCTCCCGGTCATCTCAGTCAGCCACAACCCATGGCACCTGCTGGGTCTGTTCCATGACCTCCTGTCAGCGGCGAGCATTCGACACTTCACGTGACGGCCTCAAAGTGCTACCTGGCCTGGCTCGGACGCCGTGGTGACGTCTCCCAGGGTATTGGTATTGGTGATGATCGTGGCGGTGGTGGCAGTGGTGGCGGTGGTGGTGACGGTGTTGGTGGCGTTGGTGGTGGTGGTGTTGGACTTGCCGATGACTAGTACCAGCGGTGTCAAGATCGGCCTCCGTGGAGGAGGCTCGTGAAGGACGCTACTGGGCAGTTGGAAGCAGTCGCCCTTCAACAACAATGGAGGGCGGAGGAGCGACGCTCACAACGAGCGGAGCGCCGGGTGGCTAAAGCACAGCCAGTTGGCACAGTAGGGGGCGTACAGGTGGTGCATCAGCCAGTCATCTCGGTCATCTCATTCAGTCGACCCATGGCACCTGGGTCTGCCCTGTGATCTGCCAGCGGGCGTTCAACGCTTCACGTGGCCTCAAAGTGCACCTAGCCTTGCACAAGCGTCGTGGTGATGTCACCGCCACTTAGTGGCGAATGGTGGTTGTTGTTGGTGGTGGTGGCGGTGTTGGTGGTGGTGGTGGCTACGTGGGTGCTGATGTTGCCGACTGAGTGCCTCGTTTATTAAAACGCCGATTCTGTCAAAGTCAATCGTTCTGCTGCTGCTGATCACGATGATGCTACGGATGCTGATCAAGGTGCTGCTGCTACTGATGCTGCTGCTGGTTAACGCTTGTGCTGATGATTGGCGAGATTGCGGGAAGGTTTGGATATCGAGAGAGAGTTTCCATGGTTACTCCTGAAAGGTACCGGATTTGTGTTTTGTTTTTTGGGGTTGCTACTCCCAGAGTTGTTTAATAAAGAGCCATTTAATTCAGTTTCATTTCACTATCATTTATTAGGTATAACCCTGTGAGCTATGCAGCTCTTGAACATTTCAGGAAAAAACAGCAAAGTCTTCCAGAAAAAGCACCGTATATCAACGCTGTGTGCAAAGATCCCAGTGGGATGCAAGTCAAACAATAACAACCATAAGACAATTCATATTAAAGCTATTAGTCTAACTCTGTACTACAACAAAGAAATATGGCTAAACCACTATGCACTACTATTCACTATACACTACACTATGCACTACACTATGAACGACACTATACACTACAATATACACGACTATACACTACACTGCTATAAACTACACACTATACACTACACACTACTATACACTACACCAGGGGTCGGCAACCAAAATAACAAGAAGAGCCATTTCTTTCCAATTCGGTACAAAATTCAGTATTTCAAGAGCCGCAATGCATCTGAGTACATACTGTACATACGTACATATCGTCAAGAAGCAGCCCGTAAAGAGCCGCATGCGGCTCCGGAGCCGTAGGTTGCCGACCCCTGCACTACACTATGCATGAGACTATATACTACACTATGCACTGCTATACACTACACTATACACGACACTATACGCTACACACTACACTACACACTAGTGCCATACTAGTGACGAAGGGCCGCTACCCCTTCCAGTATTGTATTATTGCCCGGGTGTTAAATAAATAAGTGTGCCTCCGACTACGTCGTCTCCGTCTGATTGGAACCCACTACACATGTACTGGACAAAGAAGTCTCACTTCAGGGTTGCCCCAGTATCTACATTTTTTGTGAAAATATGTGAAATCGACGTGGCGCAGAAAAAAAAATGCCTGCTCTTGCCCAGAAATGGTTCACACGTGCAACCCCCACATCTCCGAGGCCACCTGTGTACGTACAAAATGGCGGCCGCATGCGCGACCCGCATCCCCACGGCTTCCCGCGCGCTCCCAAAATGGCGGGCGAATGCTCGAAGGCAATCCCCACGCACACGCATATCTCCGCGGTTCTCCCCGCACTTGTATCCCAGTATACTCCTTTGGGAATCACAACAGACAATCCATGTCCCATGTTTACACCCTCCGACGTCTCTGCGCGTCGCCGCAGTTTGCCGCACGTATAAGGCCGTAGCGGGGGAAATTTTAAGCAGTATCTCTCCAAGACTCTCTCGTTGCAGCAACCAGCTGTCTCAACCGAGCTGAGAAGACATCTTGCTCACACGCTCCTACTCGCAATGCAGCCTCTGGCTGCACGCAATCGAGCGGAGAGAGCAACAACAGACAGGAACCCACCGGGGAGTTCGAATCACACCGGTCCTGCCAACCAAAAATCCCTTATGACATCAACCACGGGATTTCAGCACCCAACTCAAAAGCAACTCACCATAAGCTCCCCGAGTCTCTGTCTCACTGTTTCAGACGCGCCTCGGAGTGTCTTGGTCTCCGGGCCGTCAGGTCAAGCCGCCAGCCACAGCATGACGGGACCACAACTCCCCGAGCCATGTGAGCGCACAGCCCACTAGGCTAGACACGCCACGGAGTGTCTCTGACTCCGGGCCGTCAGGTCAAACCGTCAGCCATAGCATGAAGGGACCACACTCGTGTCAACATGAAACCACAACAGGGGCTTCTGTGCAGGATATTTGCCCCAGATAAGCCACAGCCAGCAGCACAATCCAAATCACTGGCACCATATGTCATCGTCACAATGCACCTCACAACCCGTATCCGTGCAGAGAGACAGTATATGCAGTACGGACAGTCCACACATCCGATCGCGAGAAAAGCCCCATACAATCAACACATCGTTAACAAATGTGGCACATCGCAATCACAACAAGGAAAAAATCTAGATCTGAACAACAACATAAACCGATGTCACACTGCGAGCCAATAACACGGCAACCCACGGGACATTAAAGGGCCTCGGGACACTCAACACAACCGAATTAATCATTAACTGCCCCATCAAGATAACGATCCCGATGCCGTAAGCCCGTAACCATACACACACAAAAAAAATTCTACAGCAACACACGAACACAGACGCCGCGTTCATTCTACACTCACACAGCCAGAAAAACACGTACCACAGCCCAGCAAGCAAAAAAAAACAACACGCAAAAGCAACCCGGCGTGCTTAAGATGGGTGAGGTGTGTTTTAAGGGCCGGGTGCATTGTGTCACGACTCGCCTTAGAGGCTGTGAGGATGGCAGGGTGGAACTTGAAGAATCTTGGATGGTGAGCACGGCATCCTCTTGCGACAGGATGCCACCAAGACTGCCGAAAATCTCCCTCCGCGGGTGTTGAAAATGCCGGGAACCGCGTCCCTACCGGCCGACAAAATGGCGGCCGCGCGCGCATATTTTGCACGCGCGGCCGCCATTTTGCGCGCGTGGCCGCCATTTTGCTGTGGGTGCCACCCCGGCACCCACAGCAGCGGCGGCGTCCTCTCTCTCTCGATGGCAGCGAAGCAGCAATGTGTTATGAGTCCTGCTGCCCCGCCTGCAGCGCCATCTCCCTCCTTGACCGGGACTGCAGACCACGGGGCTGCCCTGAAGATTAATTTCCCCCGTCCACGTCTTCTTGGGAGGCAACACTAATTTATTAGAACAGTAAGTACTGTTAAATTTCGATTTAAAGATTTCGTGACTGCAGGGATTCATCTTCTTGGTTCTTTCGGTAAAGTCACGTAGAAGGGAAGTAATAAAATAATAAAAATAAAACATTTATTTGATTTTATTATGTTTTATTTTTATTATTTTATTACTTCCCTTCTACGTGACTTTACCGAAAGAACCAAGAAGAGTAAGTACTGTATTATAACACTGTGCATTACACATAGGTTGGTGACCACCGACCTACTCTAGCGAGAACCGGCCCTGACGTCATTCCCGCCTCCAGCCGGGATGACGTCATGTGTGTGTGTGTGTAGACCCACGTGGTAGTGACGTTCCCGCCATAATGACGTCACACGTGTGCGTGTGTACACAGCAGTGATACTGCAATCATTACAACGGTAAGTGGAACTGCAGACTGTTGAATGGTGAGTGACAATCACCCCTACACATTTACACGATCTGACCCCAAAAAAAATAACCCCCTATCATGGACGTGTTTTCTTATTTCACCAAGTCTAAGGCCCCACTATTCGGCTGCCGCGTTAGCTCATTTTTCTTTTTACACGCTTTTGATTAACTCACTCTGTTGTTGTCGTAGCCTCAAATCTTGTTACTCAATTTTAACCCACTTCCCAATGTGGAATCGACTGCAAACTTGGTATACTTATGTCATACTGATGACAATACTATTTTCTATCATGAAACATACAAAATGTATATTTTTAAACATTCTTTTTATATGGTATGTTTCGGCTTGGGTCTAATTGTCCACGCTCAACTGACGTTGGCTGTTATTGGCCACGGTCCCTTACGTTATGGCAAGCGCCGGGGCCACTTCCTGGAGTCGTGGAGTTCTTCCATTACTAGTACGGTACATTTCATAAAAGCGTGTTTTTAAAAAAGTTTTTTTTTTATATTACTTATTCGCGAAGCCACCTGGCCCATCACGGGCGAGAGCTCAGCAAGGCGGGTGGCTCCTTCGCTCTCATCATCACGTGGGAGGTTCATAGCAGCGGCCAAAATTGGTATAAACGCCACTGCGACGTCGATGGAGGGAAACATTCGGAGGAGGACTAAAAATTCCATGCAGTGACCACCACAGGGTGAGAGTTGACACTCCAAATACTGTATACAGCAGCAGGCGTATGGTTCCATGTCGAACCTGCGACCTCCTGCGTACCAGGCGAGGTAGTTAACATCCCCCAGCCACCATGGCGCCCACGTGTGCCCCCCCACCACCAGCCAGGGTTTCGTGAAGACAGCGACCAATGGTGTGGGCTCGGTTTTTGGGGATGGGCATCGCCTGCCAGTGGCTTCAGCATCACCCCCCACCCACGACGAAAGGTCGCTTGGAGCGCATTTCAATCGACATTGCAACACTGCTGTGCGCCTCCTCCCCCACCCACCCAGCCCCACCACCACCCCACCCAACCCCACCACCCCACCAACCACTACCACCCACCCACCACCCCACCCACCACTACCACCACTACCACCCCATCCACCCACCACCACCCCAACCACCCACCACCACCACCGCACCCACCACTACCACCACCCCCCTACCACCACCATCACCTGGGGGAGGGCAAATCCCTCAGGCTGTAAAACATTCATGGGACAAAGTGGGGATGACCCTGCTGAGGCTGCGGTGCCTCAAATATTGGAGGAGGAAGTTACCCCCTGTGAGTGGCTGGCTGAGGTGCCATCTGTTGAGGAAGTACTGAAGGCGATCCAGAGTCTGAGACCAGGAAAGGCACCCGGCAGAGATGATCTCCCAAGCAAAATGTTAAGGGAGGGTGGCGTATGTGCGTAGACTGACATTATAACCACAGTCTGGGCCACTGGACGGGTACCGCAGGATTGGAAGGATGCCTTGCTGGTCCCCCTCTTTAAGAAGCGGGACCGCACAGACTGTAACTACTACAGAGGCATCTCACTCCTCAGTGTGCCGGGAAAGGTCCTGGCAAGGATTATTCAACATCGCCTTGCTAGGCACGATGAGGAGAGGCTTGCGGAGCCCCAATGCGGTTTCAACAGATGCCATATTTTCTGTCCATCTGCTACAGCAGAGGTGTAGGGAATTCCAACAAGACCTACATCTCTGCTTTATTGACCTGGTCAAGGCCTATGATACCATTTGTAGGCCTGGGCTATGGGTTGTTCTTCGTGTTTTCGGAGTCCCGGACCCTCTGCTCATGCTCATTAAGGACCTGCATGATGGTGAGCGGGCCCGGGTAAAACTATATGACCAGGAGTCAGAGCCATTCCCTGTACACCTTGGGGTGTGACAGAGATGTCCTCTGGCTCCCACATTATTTAACATTTATTTTGACCACGTAGTTCGTGAAGCCTTCAATAGCTGTACCGGAGGAA